AGACAAAGTAAACCTCAAGATAAAACAGGCAATGAGAGACAAAGAGGGGCAGTATATAATGATGAAAGGGACACTTTACCAAGAAGATATAATACTTCTAATATGTACCCAGCACAGCAGCACCAACGTACATAAAGCAACTATTAATAAACCTAAAGGGAGATATTAACAATGACACAATAATCATAGGGGACCATAACACCCCACTTACCACAATGAAGAGGTCATCTAGACAGAAAGTCAACAAGGAAATAGTGGAATTAAACAAAAAACTAGACCAGATGGACTTAATAGATAGATAGATAGATAGATAGATAGATAGATAGATAGATAGATATAGAACATTCCATCCAAAAACAGTAGAATACGCATTCTTCTCAAGTGCACATGGAACACTCTCAAGGATAGACCATTTGTTGGTAAACAAGGTAAGCATCAATAAATTTAAGAAGATTGAAATCATATCAAGCATCTTTTCCAACTATAAAGCCATGAAACTAGAAATCAACTACAGGAGAAAAGCTGGGAAAGTGACAAATACGTGGAGAATAAACAACATGCTACTGAACCACCAATGGATCAGTGAAGAAATTAAAGGAGAAATGAAAAGGTATCTAGAGACAGATGAAAATGAAAATACACCATACCAACTCAAATGGGATGCAGCAGAAGTGGTCATAAGAGGGCAATTCATAGCAATACAGGCCCACACTAACAAACAAGAAAAATCTCAAATAAGTAGTCTTAAAGTACACCTAAGAGAATTAGACAAAGAAGAACAAAGCCTAAAGTTAGCAGGAGAGAAATAAAAATTAGAGCAGAAATAAATGAAATTGAAACAAAAAAATCAGTAGAAAAAGGATCAATGAAACCAAGAGCTGGTTCTTTGAGAAGATAAACAAAATTGACAAACCCTTAGCCAACTCACTAAGAAAAAAAGAGAACACTCAAATAAATAAAATTAGAAATGAAAGAGAAATTACAACGGATACCACACAAAGGATTATAAGATAATGCGATGAAAAACTGTATGTCAACAAATTGGACAATCTAGAAGAAATGGATAAATTCTTAGACTCATAACACCTCCCAAAACTGAATTAACAATAAATAGAGAATCTGAATAGACCAATCACAAGTAAAGAGATTAAAATAGTAATCAAAAACCTCCCAAAAAACAAAAGTCCATGACAAGATGGCTTCTCTTGAGAATTCCACCAAATATTCAAAAAAGATTTAATACTTATCCTTCTCAAACTATTCCAAATACTTGAAGAAGAAAGAACACTTCCTAACACATTTTATGAGACCAACATCACTCTGATCCTGAAGCCAGAGAAGGGCAACACAAAGAAGGAAAATTACAGGCCAACATTGCTGATGAACATAGATGCAAAAATCCTCAATAAAATATTGGCAAACGAAATACAGCAATACATTAAAATCACCATATACCATGATCAAGTAGGATTTACACCAGGGATGCTGGGATGGTTCAACATCTACAAATCAATCAATGTGATACACCACATTAACAAAATGAAGAATAAAAACCACACGATTATCTCAATAGACACAGAGAAAGCATTTGACAAGATCCAACATCCATTTATGATAAAAAAAAAAAAAACTCTCAATAAAATGGATACGGAGGAAAGTACCTCAACATATGACAAGCCCACAGCCAACATCATACTCAATGGGGAAAAACTGAAAACCATCTCTCTGAGAACAGAAACAAGAAAAGGGTGCCCACTCTCACCACTCTTATTCAACATAGTACTGGAGGTTTGGGCCAGAGCAATTAGGCAAGAAAAAGAATAAAATGGATCCAAATAGCCAATGAAGAAGCAAAACTCTCAGTGTTTGCAGATGACTTTTTATATAAAGAAAACCCTAAAGAATCCATCAGAAAACTATTAGAAATAACCAGTAACTACAGCAAAGTTGCAGGGTACAAAAGCAACTTACAAAAATAAGTTGCATTTCTATACTCTAATAATGAACTAATAGAAAGAGAAGTCAAGAATACAATCCCATTTACAATTGCAACAAAACTAATAAAATATCTAGGAATAAACTTAACCAAGGAGGTGAAAGAGCTATACAATGAAAACTGTAAGACATTATTGAAAGAAATCGCTGATGACACAAAGAAATGGAAAGCTATTCCATGCACACAGATTGGAAGAATATATAGTTAAAATGCCATACTACCTAAAGCAATCTACAGATTCAACGCAATCCAAATCAGAATCCCAGTGACATACTTCACAGAAACAGAACAAAGAATCTTAAAATTCATATGGGGCAACAAACAACTGTGAATAGCTAAAGCAATCCTGAGAAAATGAACAAAGCTGGAGGCATCACAATCCGACTTCAAAATATACTACAAAGCTATAGTAATCAAAACAGCATGGTACTAGGACTAAAAGAGACACACAGATCAATGGAACAGAATTGAAAGCCCAGAAATAAAACCACACATCTACAGACAGCTAATCTTCGACAAACGAGCCAAGAACATACCATAGAGAAAGGAAAGTCTCTTCAATAAATGGTGCTGGAAAACTGGACAGCCACATGCAAAAGAACGAAAGTAGATCATTCATTATCTTTCGCCATACACAAAAATTAACTCAAAATGGATCAAAGACTTGAAGGTAAGACCTGAGACATAAAACGCCTACAAAAGAATACAGGCAGTACATTCTTTGACGTCAGTCTTAGAAGGATCTCTTCGAATACCATGTCTACTCGGGCAAGGGAAACAAAAGAAGAAAAAAACAAGTGGGACTTCATCATACTAAAGAGCTTCTGCAAGGCAAAGGAAAACAGGAACAAAATGAAAAGACAACCCACCAACTGGGAGAAAATATTTGCAAACCATCTATCTGTCAAGGGGTTAATCTCCAAAATATATAAATAACTCACACAACTCAGCAACAAAAAACAAACAACCTGATCAAAAAATGGGCAGAGGGGGCTGGCCCCGTGGCCGAGTGGTTGAGTTCATGTGCTCCGCTGCAGGTGGCCCAGTGTTTCATTGGTTCGAATCCTGGGCGCGGACATGGCACATTTTGCAAAAGAAAAGATTTTTTTAAAAGTTAAGTAACAACCAGCCAGTTACACCTAATTTGTAAATAAATGGATTTCACAATGAATTCTTTCAGAATACAGACTGAATATAACTAAAATATTTTCTAGATGCATATTGTATCTCAGTCGTTCACTGAATCTCTCATAAGCATCCAAAGAAACAGAATGCCACGTCTTTATATTATTGACCTTCCACACCACAAGGAGTCTCACGCAGCTCACTGCCCCTCTCAGGGCCTCAGCTTCCCTAGGCCACCTCCCTAAAATTTAATTCTGGCCTCATCTGTCAGTGACTTGAAACCCCATACTGATACTGTAAGTTTTGATAGATTATATGATGAGCACCCTCAGAGACAGATGCCTTCCATATTCCTACCTCTTGGGTCAAAGTCAGGACTTAGATGCAGAACTGATCTGCTACTAGAGAAATGTATCCTTGGACAGGGAGCTTCACTTCTCTGGATCCCAATTTCATTAATATATAAATTAAGTTGACTAGAAGACCTAAGATTCAAGTCCAAAATCCTGTAATTCCAGGCCATGAAATATTAAATCACATGTAAAAATAGCATAAATATAAAGGTGGTAAAAACTCTGGTTTTGAGCAGATGAAAAAAAAACGAGCCACCTTCAAAAATGCTGGTAAACATCTGTTTTGGAGTACAAGTCTAAATTCAGTAGAATCAGAGAAACAAATCTTTTATTTCATAGAAATATATGTGAACTAACTACCAGCTAATAATCTCCTCTCCTTTCTTCCTAATATCCATGACTACATTGACACTAGTGTCAAGTAGTTAATTCACAAACCAAATAAAAGTGACATGTAATTACAATGACTATGCCAACCAAATCTCAGAAGAAAACATTTAACATTTAATACTCACATTTAAATACATTAATGATTATAACTGAAGTCGTGCTTTAAATGCAGAATATGCTATAAACAAGGCGTTAAGGTTCTTCAATATTGGATGGCATCTAGTTTATGTGTTTGGCTATTTTGTTTTCAAGATTTTATATAGGCTTTAGCTAATCTCAAATTATTTCTCAACTACCAATAACTGGAAAGCAATACTACTTTCATTGGTATAAAAGTGAAGTGCATGTTAAAAGCAGATTATCTAATTCCTATACTTATCTACCTAAAAAGAAAGTACAGGGGCCGGCCCCATGGCCGAGTGGTTAAGTTCGCACACTCTGCTTCGGTGGCCCAGGGTTTTGCCACTTTGGATCCTGGGTACAGACATGGCACCACTCATCAAGCCATGCTGAGGCGGCGTCCCACATGCCACAACTAGAAGGACCCACAACTAAAAATACACAACTATGTACCAGGGGGCTTTGGGAGAAAAAGGAAAAATAAAATCTTAAAAAAAAAAAAAAGTACAAAATTGTTATCTAAGAGTCAAAGAAAAAAATGATGAAATTGCAAACTGTAGTCCAACCCATTTTCTTGGTTAGTAGAGCATGAAATCAGAAGTGTGAATGAGTTAGTTAAAGCAATCGATGGCTCAGAAGTAACACCTTCTGAGGGTCAGATATCCGCCAATACTACTTTATGAGCAATACTTGTTTCAAACATAAAAGCCTGTACTTCATTTGGCACAAACCTTATCTTTGTTTAGAAGTAGAAAAATGGGTTTCAAATCTGTGTACTTTCCAGAATTGCCAAGTTATAAATATGTTTTTGCAGATGCTATCAATACTACAAAAAATTTTAAAGGAACTTAGAGTGTTTAGTTAGTTGGAACTGAATTTAGTAAGTTTTATTCAACAGGTTCATGCTTGAGTAAGTTTCTAGGTGTCTGATATTCTTCTACTAAATAAACCCACATATATGTAAAGAGGACTATGTTAGTGCAGATTGTCAAAAAGAACACTTTAGAGACATTATATTAATTTTATGTTTTTAATAGAAAAACAACTTTTATGACAGAGCTAAATATACAAGGTAAGTTTAATTTTTAAAAAGAAAACTTATTGGTAAGAGTAGCAGAATTCTAGTGATAAATGCACTAATCTTGAAATAAATCATCTTTAGAGAAAAATATTAATTCATGCCAGACTCTATTAAAGTGCATAAAGAGGAAATTTATTTTAGAATTCATACCAAAGGCCCATTATAAATACATGTGTTACTCTGGTACAGTAAGGCAGGAAGCCCAGCCTCAATGGTAACACAGCCTTGATCTTAATATAGTCTGCCTCTTAGTATGTGCCTCATAAATAGTCTGTTCCAAAAGCTGAAAATTACAAGCAATTTTCTTGTTGATAACTTTATGAGTAATTTTGGCAACAGAGTAAAAACGTCTTAATTCTTATTTTGCTAATTCTCTAGTCATGTCAGTCTCACAAGAAACATCTGATTATCATTTTCAATGAAAACTGAAAGAAGAGGGATATTTTCAGACTTTTTAAACAAATTAAACCATAAATATTTTTCATACGTAAAAAAAATAAATAAATTTTAGGATAGCTTTAGATTTTAATTTTCAAGAAACATCAAGTCATTTTATTTGCAATGGTAAATTAAAGTAATGAAAGGAATAACTTGCACAGCCAACTGGTATACAGTTACTTTCTTAAGACCAGTTTCATAAGAAGCAACTGAATTAAGCACTGTGCACAGAGATGCTGAATGGATGCTCAAACTTATCACTTACATCATGCAGCTTCTTACAAAAAGTCAAACTGCTATAGTCTTTTTAATGCTCACTGCTGCTCACTTTTAAAACTAACTTTTAAAACCCTGCTCAATTTTAAAACAAACATCAGCACGGAGTCACTCACATATGCTTACTTTTCAGTGGTCTCACATGATGATTCTCTGATTTAGATTAGTTACATATACACTGATGTTTTTATCACAATGAAAAGAGGAAAGAAAAAAATGTGGATTCAGAATATGGAATCCATGAAGAGGCTAAAAATGAATCCTTTGGCCACAGAAAATCAGCAACAGACTGGCAATATTAATTATAGAAAACAATTTATCAGTATAAAAACAAAAGGGTATCATCTTTTTTTTCTAAAAGACCCAATTTATTTTTATAATGAATCAAAATAACATATTTGTGTACCTTCATGTGAGGTTTTTTTTCTTATCAATATTTATGCTTTTCTGGTACTAGTTTTTTTCATACCCTTACATCAAAGTCTTCCCATAAATCTCTGAAGTCACGAATATCCTTATCCATGGGTAAACGACGAAAGCGATAATTCATCAAAATATATTTTCGCCTATTTAACAAATAAATCTGTTGTGAGGTTAATTCCTTCTAATTCATATAAAATAATCCCATTAATCTATGAAAAACAATGATCATATTGATTTTACTATACCTCAAACCCTTAGACAAATATATTTCTGATTACCTGTTAATGTAAGGAAAACTGAGTAAATTTAATATTCATACTTAAACTACTGAATACCTATAAACAAAGCAGTATTTATTAAAATAGAATATACACAATTTACACTAAATTCCATTCAGATTTATACAAGTTTTTCATGCTTAATTTTTAAATACACACATCATGATTTCTTTCAAACATTATGAGTCAGGTATATACAAAAGTGAAATATGACATCTAAGCCAGATTGCGATTTTTAAAATAATGAACCTCTAAACAGCTAGTGATGTACAATGCGTAAAATTCCAATTAAACAGGTATATTCTTATAGAAATGTTAGTCCTATAATACTGAGCGATATTTACAAGCAAACATGATCCAAACAGCACATGCAGATTCAGGGTAAGTAAATACTCGGACACGAACTGCCAGTCGCACCTGGTCTCCGCGGCAACAGATTATTTCTTCACAAAAAGGAGACCTACCGAAGAAAGAAACTTTTTCAATTAAGAAGTGAACATAGGCTTTACTTTCTTATTTTGAAGTAAGTCAGTATTTACAATAATTTTTTTAAATCCTCTCTCTGCTACCAATAGCTTTGTAATTTTGGTTGAGCTATTCAAATTATAGACTATTTTCTCATAGTCTATAAATTTAAAAAAATTATACTAGACAAGATCGACTGAGGTTGCACCAAAATCACTGGGAAAATTATCCCAAACTATCTAGAGCTACATTTCAGACCAAATGAATCACAATCTGTGCAAAGAGGTTAAGTCATTATAAAAGCTCCCTGTGTGATGCTGAAGTCATTCCTAAATAACTACCAGACTAACTGATGGTTAAGATTCCTAAGCCAAAAACATTCATGAATTCCTAAATCCCACCTTACCGAAGACAGGTAGCAAATGCACGCCTTGCATTTCTATACACAAAATGTATTGGGAACCCTTTAAACGTGTGACCATCAGGTACAGCTCTCCTTATGGCATCTTGAAATTCTTCATTGCCTGCAGATATACTTGTCGTACGTTCAAATTCATAAGAAGCCAAAGCTGGTGATAAGAGATAGGAAAGCTGGTCTTCCCAAACAGTAGTGAGGCCAAGATCCTACAGCAATCAAAAGAGAAAAAGTAAAAGTGAAACATGTTAATATTTTAAAAACCAATTATAATTAAAATGTTGATTATTTTAATATAAGCCAAGAAAAGATTTTTAAAACCTGTCATAATTGTTTAAACTTATCATTGATTAATATAAGAATAGATAGAAATAAAAATAAAAGGAACTACAGGTATCAGGTTTTACTTCTTAGAGAAATAACCAAAAGCCATTCAATACAATGATGTTAGTGAAGGTTCCAAATCTTATACTTCCTTAATATCCACTAGAAAAGACCACATGGGATAGTCCTACTATGGAAGACACAGTGTCACTGAATTTTGAGGTCACGTTTTATTTAACTTTAAAGAATTAAGTAGGATTGAATTTGCTTAACTGACTGCTCCTACCATAAATTCAAACACAGTAGGAGAGAAAAGTCAACAAACAAACTGCATATACAATTAAACAAATATTTACTGAGCGTTTACTCTGAAAGGTGATGACTTTTATACTGTAAGAAATAAAAAGGTGAAGAAGACATGCTAAAGGCCTTCAGGGAGCTTAAAACATGTTTCTATGGAATGCTGAAGGCCATTTGATTTCATTTATAACATCAAATGAACTATTCATGTCTAGATGTCATATTTTAAAAATTTTTTTACCAACATAAAAAACTTCTCGAAATTATAAATACTTTGATTATCATAACAGATCTTTAGCATTTCTTGATTTCACATTCAAGGTTTTAACTGGTTCCAAGTGATCCCTAAAGTCCATGATCATCTACACTTTTCCAGCAAAAAGCAAAAAGGGACTCTCACTCGCAGGTTTACAAGCACCATTAACTTAGCTAGTAAGCAACACTGGCAGCTAAGATCAATCTTGTTTTCTTTTCCTATACAAAGTATTCTTATAATGCAATAAAACATTAGTTTTATTTGTAAACAGGACCTAAGAAACGAAAACTAAAAGGCAATACAAGTGATGGAGAGAAAGGGACGGTAATGAGGGGATTTCATTTCCAGTAGTGTAATGAACTAAGTCCCTGACCACCCTATTGCTGAAAACATACTACAAATGCCAGATTAAATATTTTCCAAAACATACTTTTAAATACTCTGATGAGTTGGCAAATGAGTAAGGGAGATTTTAGAGGCCAAAGCTGAGAGTCACTGGGAGCCCTGAGAACATATGGGATAAATCAATTTACCTTTGATGGCCTCAAGGGACATGGAAAACAGGGCTCACCCAAGGTGGGGAGTCTATTAGGGAATCCCAAAAGGTGAATTAGAAACAAATCTCTTGTAGGAATTTTGGGTTCTCTGTAGGTTATATGTGTTGCAAATAACTTTTCCCACTCCAACGCTGCTCTTTTCACTCTCTTAATGGTTTCTTTTGATGAACGTAAGTTCTTAAAACATACTAATCTTTTCCTTTATGGTTAATGCTTTTCATGTCTTCTTCAAGGTACTTTACAAAAGACATCTAAATGGCTAATAAAGAAGAGGTTTGACCTCATTAGTAATCAGGGAAATGGAAATTAAAGCCAGAATGAGGATATCATTTTACACCCACCTAATTTAGTCTAATAGGAAAGCAAAACAAAACCAACCTGGGAAAAAAAAAACAAAACGAATATGAAAAAAATATAACTCACTATTTTTAATTGGAAATGATGTAAATATTTGGAAATCTAAATAGCGGTATTCAGCAAAAGTCTGAACAAGTTCACCATTCTTCATTTCCAGAAGGTTCTAAGAAGTATTGGTTGAATCTGGAAATTTTTGAGTCTTAGAACTTAACTCCTATGACTTTCAAACTACAAATTCATAAAGGCAGGGAGCATATTTGCTTTGTTCCGAGCTAGAATAGTGACTGGCACTATCATACATGCCAAAAAAACTGAAATATGTCAACAAATTAAAAAAATGTATGAAACTACAAATTCCAGTGTTAATTACCTTCCTGTGTTCTGACACTAGTAGCCTTAGCTGCATTTCTATTTCATTACTTGTTACTGAAGCATCAATTGTGGATGCACATAGAGGTGGAAAGGGAGGAAGGGATGTTGTTGCTCCTGGAGCACATACAGATTTAATCGCTTCTTCACTCATGGGTTTCCATTTGGACTCATCATTCAAATCAAATACACAGACTTCTACTGAGTCAGAGGGCTGACAATTTCCCAGGAACATCTGATGATTGAAAACACAACCAACTGTTCGATATGGGTACAATGGTTTGGGTTGTTCGGCAACTGGAGGTTCATCAGGATTGGTAGATTTGTGGATGTACCTAAAAAAAGTAAATTATAATTTTATATAATAAAAACTTAAAATATAAGAAGGCAGCTTTTATCGAGGAAAAAAATTATTCTAACACTTAAGGCTTAACGATTTCCCAGGATGAGAGTTTAATACTTGTTTTTCCTTATATTTCCACAATTTGATTATTGTATAATTGTACGACACATCTTATGATATAGAAACCAACTTTATTCCTTTAACAAAAGAATATATTCTATGTATATAGTTAAGATCAAAAATGTTTCTCTCATACAACACAATTAAAATAATTTAGTAATACATTATTAGGCAAAACTAAGCAAAATGTCTATCAAACAGGGAAAAAGAGAACCTAAGAAAATGAGACGAGGGCCCAGGGTTGCGCCTTTAGAACCCTAACATTTAAAGACAAGATGAAGGAAAACTGAGAATAGCCAGAGAGGAATAATGAAAACTGAAAGACAGTGCTATGACAGAAGCTAAGGAAAAAGAATGTTCCAGGAAGGAGGGAGCATTTAACTCTTTCAAAATCTGATGACAAGCAAAACAACTGAAAAAAACATACAGTGGATTTACTATCATGAAGTTAGCGTCCACATCAAATTTTCAAAAGAAATCATGATTTGCAACTTGAATTTATTTTCAGGCATAGAGACGATCACCAGAAAAAGCATATGCCAATTATACAAAATTAAAAGTAAATATAGTTTATTTTTACCAATATCATGTTGGTAAAGAATATTTAAGGTGTACACATTTTTTTTTTTTTTAAAGATTTTATTTTTCCTTTTTCTCCCCAAAGTAGCCCTGGTACACAGTTGTATATTTTTAGTTGTGGGCCCTTCTAGTTGTGGCATGTGGGACGCCACCTCAGCACGGCTTGATGAGTGGTGCCATGTCCACACCCAGGATCTGAACTGGCAAAACCTTGGGCCACCAAAGTGGAGCACGTGAACTTTAACCACTCGGCCACAGGGCCAGCCCCTACAAATTTTCTTAGAGTGTATTTAACAGCTATCTTAACTGAAGTAATTTTTTACATGGTCATCAAAAAGGCTCTAATAACTAAAATTATCAGTATATGCCTTTGAGTACTGTCAATATAAACAAAAAACCTGCAATTCAAAACATTTACATCTTCATTTTAATATCCTTGTAAATTTAGTTGACTAACCTGTGTCCTGTTAAACTCTCCCAAAAAGTGATGGTTCCATCAGTTCCACAAGTCATAACCCATGCATGAGGTACTCCTTTTGCCTTAGTCCCAACACAGACAAAGGCTTCTAATCCATATCCAAGAAGGAGGCTGCACAGAAGGTTAGCATGATCTTCACAGTCACCCTAGGAAATGACACAAATTAAAATTAAGTACTGATTCCTTCATACTGTTTCCTTGTTAAATACTTAAATATATAATTACAATTCAAAATATTATTAAATCTTTTACTTTTAATCATTAGTCTAGTGTTAAGCTGAAACAACGAGGGGAAAAGAGAATATACTAATTTTAGAAGAACCTAAATTATTTTACAAAGTCAGTGCTCATCAATCTCATAGTCATAACACATACACTTTAAGAGGGGGCATTCAGATTCAAAAGTTTATAAAGAACTCATAAAACACAGAAAAAAGCAGTAAGATGTTAAAGATGGATAGCTAAAGGACATGAATAGATAAGCTGACAAATCATACAGCAGGAAATGTAAATAAATGGGAAAAAACTTAAAACAATCAGCTATAGTAGCTATACATCATCAGTTTAAGGAAATATATAGAAAAAAAGATTGGATCAAAGAACAAAAAATGAAACAATGGCTATAATTAGGGTAGGTGATATATAATTGTCCCTTCTACTTTCTAAATTCTCTTTGATAATGTTCTATTACCTTCAATTTAAAAGAATTATGAAAACTACAAAAATAGAAAATATCTGATAATATGTTCCATGAAGAAAACATTAAAACATTAAACACTAAGGCTAAAATTACGTGAAGATATGTATTTAAGTGTAGGACTATGGGTAATATGCAAAAACAAAGATAACTACTGAATTCAGTGTTAGAATGAGGGATGATTTCTTTCCCAAAAACTTTTGCATTAGTGGCTCTACACTGTTGTTTTTTAATTAACAGTAATAAAACAAATAGCATTTTATAATCATCAAACTGACTTTTGAAAAATACAATATCCAATCTTTTAGACCGAATAATTTCTGTACTGAGATTTTATACTAAAAAAATTTCAAAGGAAAAATAACAATACAATCAAACATATTCAATGCAAAAATTCATTTGCAGTGATACCAAAAAATTGGAAGTAAGCCTTAGTCAAAAGAAACAGTTTCTACAATGACGAAAGAGTTAAGTAGATTTTATATAAACTCAAGAAAACTTTATACAGCCATTAAAAGACAGAGATCATAAAGATCATAGCAACACATGGGGAAATGTTCATGGCATAAGGCTAAAAGTATGACACAAAACTTTATTATCTTAATTATAATTACGTCAAAAATGATACACAAGAGAAAAACAAAAATATAAAAAAAGATGAAAAATTGGTAATAGAATTATGAATGTAATTTCACCTTTACTTTACAACAGTTGTAATGCTGCTGTTTATGCAAGAACAATTTTTTAACTAATTTGCAAGCTTTTAAGATGTGCTTTCTTGGGCCAGCCCCATGGCCGAGCAGTTAAGTCTGTGCACTCCACTTCAGCGGCCCAGGGTTCAGATCCTCGGTGCAGACATGGCATCACTCATTAGGCCATGTTGAGTGGTGTCCCACATGCCACAACCAGAAGGACCCACAACTAAAATATACAACTACGTACTGGGGGGATTTGGGGAGAAAAAAGCAGGGGGCAAAAAAAAGAAGATTGGCAACAGTTGTTAGCTCAGGTGCCAATCTTTAAAAAAAAAAAAAAGATGTGCTTTCTCTTTAAACAAACTTAGGTAAATAAAAACAGTGAATCAAAGGGGTGAATATTTGCTTTACAAAAGAATTATTTACACAATAATTTTAAATATGTTTCACACCTACTATACTTGAAATAAAAATTTAAATTCATACACACAACTTTTGGGAACTACAGCTTGGGAATAAATCACAATAATTTTTTTGGAGCCAGCCCTGATGGCCTAGCGGTTAATGTTCAGCGTGCTCTGCTCTGGCAGTCCAGGTTTCGTTCCTGGACATGGAAGCACAGCACACATGTGTCAGTAGCCATGCTATGCTGGTGGCTCACAGAAGAACTAGAAGGACTTACAACTTGAATATGTAACTACATACTGGGCTTTGGGGAGGGGAAAAAAAAGAGAGGAAGATTGGCAACAGATGTCAGCTGAGTGAATCTTTAAAAACTAACAATTCTTTTGATAAGCAATGCTTAACTGTTTTCAATTGTCTTTAAGACAAAATATTTCTAATTGACAAATCAATCTCTAATCTAAATAGTTTCTTCCACTGTACAGCTTTGCCTTGTGAATACCCATACTAGTCACACAAGCTCAGACTAAACAAAATTATTTCAAAACAATAATAAAGAAATTTTTTTCTGTTCTTTCAACAGAATTGGAATGCTAAAGACAGTCTCACTTGTTTTTATAATATCATCAACATTTTTGGGACACATAAGATTAGGAAATATCCCATTATCTATAAAATTAGTTTATTGAAATAAATTTCATTTAGCATCAACAAATGTACACAAATTCTTAAATATATAATTAAATTTGAAACTAAACAAAATATCATGTAATCCAAGATCTTTTTCTATATTCATTTTGACTGCCAATTCCTCTTTCAAAAAAAATGTATCATCTAAGCAAATTGTAACACATGAATACTCCTAGAAGACCATGGTTCTGGTCCTGGCAGTGTTTCTAATTCACTAATTTACCTCTATATCTTGGATCCTGACACTTTAGTACTCGTAGGTCCCTATCTCACAAAAATCATATTATGTTAAATAAGAAACTACATGAAAAAATAAAGATGCTAAGTTGTTTCTTTATGTATTGACATTTAAATGTTAGGGAAAATGGTGAAGAGATTCTGATTTGTTCAAGTTGACAATATGTATATTTTTTCTAAGTTAATTCTTTTACAAATGCACCATAAACTCACAATAACTATAATGTACTGCTTTTTAATTCTATTGAGCGTAGGATACCTTGTTTCTACAGAGAAAGGCCAGGAGTGTGCACCACTGTTCCTGTTTACCTCCTCCTCCAATAACAGGGGCTCTTTCATAACCAAGGACATTAACAAATCTTGCAGCTTGCCTTGGAGTATCCAGAAGCCTCCCAGCTCGAAGTGGTTTAACATAGGAGCAGACTGGTCTATTTATCCCATTTTCATCCTGGAAGAGAAAGGGAAAAACATCTGTAATGACAGATTAATCATTCCCAATTTTAACACCTTTTCTTAGAAAACACTAATGTATTCTAAATACATTAGATAAAATAAGTCTGATACCACTTATTGAGTGCTTACCTAGCATCCAGCACTAACTTGCTGAGTGCTGTGCATACAATTTCTCTCTCAATCCTCATAACATCTATTACTTTCATTTCATAGATGAAGAAACCGAAGCTACAGCTATAATGCAATGGAGCCAGGATTCAAACCCTGAGCTATGTGACTCCAAAGCCTGTGACAATAGGAACCTGAACTTATGATCCAGCAATTCCATTCCTGGATATATATCCAAAGCAGTTGAAATCAGTATCTCAAAACAGGTATCTGCACATCCATGTACACCACAGCATACTGACAATAGCCATGATGTGGAAACAACCAAAATGTCCTTCAACAGAAGAATAAACAAAATGTGGTGTATATGTACAATGAAATACTATTCAGCCATAAAAAGGAGAGCCTGCCATTTTCAACAACATAGATGAACCTGAAAGGCATTACGCTAAGTGAAATAAGCCAGACATCTAGACAAAGACAAATACTGTACCGTATCACTTGTATGTGGAATCTCAAAAAAAAAAAAAAAAGCCAATTTCATAGAAATGGAGAATGGAATGGTGGTTGCCAAGGGTTGGGGGAAGAGGGAAATGGAGTAATGTAGGTCAAAGGGTACAAATTCTCAGTTACAAGAAGAGTAAGTTCTGAGGATCTAATGTACAGCATGGTTACTATAGTCAACACTATAGTATTATAAACTTGAAAGTTGCTCAGAGTAGATCTTCAGCATTCTCACCACACACACACACAAAAAAGAGTTAACTAGGTGAGGTGATGGATGTGTTCATTATCTTGATCTTGGTAATCATCCCATAAAGTATTTGTTCATCAAATCATCACGCTGTACACTTTAAATATATATAATTATATTTGTCAATGATTCCTCAATAAAGTTAAAAAAAAAACTCCTCTGAGAAAAAGTAGGCAAGTGGGTGGGAGATGGAGAGGGGATCTAAGCCGAAGTATTCATTCATATTATCACACAGAATTTAATGATATTTACCCAGACAGAATAACTTTTCAGATTAACTGATAAAACAATGATCAGAACTCATTTTTAGTTTGTTTCCATTAAACTTGGAGATCCATAGGAAACAATGATTTGTGAACCAAGTCAAGTGAAAGCAGAGTTTTGAAAACATCTTAGGGAAACATTTTAGGGAAACATCTTACATTTGAAATACAGGATGTATCCTAGCATTTGAGCTGAATAACTACTGTGCACACAAGAGTCTCTGATCACTGTTCACCTCTGTGCTTTTAGAGTTAAATTACCAAAATTTCTACTTCACTTACCTTCATGATTACTGAGATGACAAGGCCAAAGTGCCATTTTCTATTCAAATTCAGAGACAATTTAACACTCTCTATTATGACAAAGCTCCTCAGAAATAAGACCTAACTCAGCCAACAGAAACACCACCTGTTTGAATTCAAAGCGACTGATGTCTTTCTACACCACAAAAACATCACTTCTCCCATATAATCCCATGCCTCAGCAAGAAAAAAACTTGCCTATTATTTATTGATTATAGTGAGAAAGATCATGAGTTTTTATTTCAACAGCATTTATTTCTGCTCTGATTTTTATTATTTCTCTCCTTCTGCTGACTTTGGGCTTTGTTTGTTGTTCTTTCTCTAATTCAGTTAGGTGTACTTTAAGATTGCTGATTTGGGATTTTTCTTGTTTGTTAAGATGTGCCTGAATTGCGATGAATTTTCCTCTTAATAGAGCTTTTGCTGCATCCCATATGAGTTGGCATGGCATGTTATCATTTTCATTTGTCTCCAAGTATTTTTTGATTTCTTCTTTAATTTCTTCAATGATCCATTGCTTGTTCAATAGCATATTGTTTAGTCTCCACATCCTTGTGCCTTTCTCAGCTTTTTTCTTGTAATTAATTTCTAGCTTTATAGCATTATGATCGGAGAAGATGCTTGTTATTATTTCAATTTTTTTAAATTTGTAGAGGCTTGCCTTGTTTCCCAACATATGGTCTATCCTTGAGAATGTTCCATGCGTGCTTGAGGAGAATGTGCATTCTGCTGTTTTGGGGTGAAGTATTCTAAATACATCTATTAAGTCCAACTGTTTTAGCTTTTCGTTTAGCTCCACTGTTTCTTTGTTGGTTTTCTGTCTGGATGATCTGTCCATTGATGTGAGTGGGGTGTTGAGGTCCCCTACTATTATTGTGTTACTTTTGATATCTTCTTTTAGGTTTGTTAATAGTTGCTTTATGAACTTTGGTGCTCCTGTGTTGGGCACATAGATATTTATAAGCATTATTTCTTCTGGATGAAGTGTCCCTTTGATCATTATATTTTGGCCCTCTATGTCTCTCTTTACCTGCCTTATCTTGAAGTCTGTTTTGTCTGATATAAGTATTGTGACACCTGCTTTCTTTTATTTGCTATTTGCTTAGAGTACTGTCTTCCACCCCTTCACTCTGAGCATGTTTGTCCTTTGAGCTGAGGTGTGTTTCCTGGAGGCAACAAATTGTTGGATCTTGTTCTTTAATCCATTTTGCCACTCTGTGTCTTTTTATTGGAGAGTTCAATCCGTTCACATTGAGGGTGAGTATTGATGCATGAGGGCTTAATGCTGTCATTGTGTTGCTCGTTTTCCGGTTTTCCTGTGTTTCCTTTGTTTCTCATCCTGTGTGTTTTAGCCTACCCATTGACTTCTGCAATTTCTTATGCTGTGTTTCTTAGATTTTTCCTTATTTATGTTTTGTGTCTCTGTTCTGCTTTTTAGTTTAGTGGCTACCCTGAAGTTTGTATTCAGAATCTTGTGTATAACATAGTCCGTTTTCTGGTGGTCTCTTACTTCCTTAGCCTAGACTGTTTCAGTCCCTTTCCTCCTCCCCTCCTAAATTATTATTTTTATCTCTTATTCCAACTTGTGTTGTGAGTTTGTGGTTAGAGTGATAAGATTGTCTTTGCTTTGGTGATTTCCTTCCCTTTATCCTAATGCTATAGATCATGAGTTTTTAATATGATACAAAGCAAAATGACTATTATGATTTCTACTCATACCTATGGTTCTCAACTCCAAAAGGCACTGTTGTTTTTTTCCTGTCCTTTCCCACCCTGCTCTACTTCCTTTGCTCCAACACTTTCATAGGGGTCTGTTACTCTCCATCTCCCTACACCATCTTAAGAGTCAAAAATAGAGACAAAATGAAGTGATCAGCTAGGAGAGCTCAAATAGAATGAAGGACCAAAGTCAGGTAAGGAAACTAAGGAACAGAGAAAGGAGGAGATTTAAGCCCTGGGTCTCTTAAGGCACAAATCTTTTTTTGGGGGGGTGGGGTGGGTGCGGAAGATTAGCCCTAAGCTAACATCTGTGCCCATCTTCCTCTATTTTGGATGTGGGATGCCACCACAGCACAGCTTGATGAGCTTGGTGCATAGGTCCATGCCCAGGATCTGAACCTGTGAACCCAGGGCCACCGAAGCAGAAAACTCGAACTTAACCACTATGCCAAAAAGCTGGCCCCTTATGTCACTGATTTTTAAAACAGAAAATCATTATTCTAATTTTGGAGGGAAGTAGAAAACTATTATTTAGATTTCTTTTACATTAATTCAGCATTACTAATGATCAAGTATTGTATGAGAATATTAAGTACTGAAATCACAATCTCAACATTAAAAGAACAGCCTCAATCCTGAAGTGATTTATAACATTTTCTTAAAACTTAATGGTCTTAAAGGTCAATTCTTATAACTTACTTTTAAATTTCTTGCACTAGAAAATTTAAAAGCTATCATAAGTGAATTACTACTGTACTATATAGCAAAACCAGCTAGTGAGGGAGAAAAGTAACAATGAATTTTTAAGTATAATGACCCTGGGAATTCTACAGATGTTTGGTTAGGATAAAGGCGATTAAGTCAGTTCCTATGTGGGCCAGTTAGTCCTATTCTTACAACTCCACTAAAAGGCAAGAAAGGGATGAGTACCTAAAAAGTAGACGTATTTGCCCTAAATCAGTCATCAACAGCAGCATCTCGGAATACAAGCTGCATCATTATATGTTTCATTACAGCAATATTTCTAATAGTACCGAAATACAGTCCCATAAACTACTTAAAAATGTCTTCAAATTTTCAGTATTTCAATCTCTAAAGCTACTCTGTCCAACAAGAATGCCACTAATTAAATGTGGCTATTTAAATTTTAATTAATTAAAATTAAATGAAATTTAACATTCAGTTCTTTAGTCACATTAACCACATTTTGTGTGCTCAATAGCCATATATGGTTAGGGACTACCATACTAGACAGCACAGATATACAACATTTCTATCACTGCAGAAAGTTCTATGGAACAGTGCTGCTGCAAACTATTTCCTCTTGTGTCTGGGAAGCAAAGGAAATTCATTTTCAGACCATATATAATAATTTTCTTGGTTTAAAACTATAGTTTTTGTAATTAAATTGAGTGCCTTAAGTAACTGTCATTGTTCTTTAATTTCAAATATAGGAAGCAGCAGCCAGAAACACCTCTGGGGAATCTAAGTAAGATAAACACTTTTTTTTCTTTTTTTTTTTTGAGGAAGATTAGCCCTCAGCTAACTGCTGCCAATCTGCCTCTTTTTGCTGAGGGAGACTGGCCCTGAGCTAACATCATGCCCATCTTCCTCTACTTTATACATGGGACGCCTACCACAGCATGGCTTGCCAAGCGGTGCCATGTCTGCAGCCGGGATCCGGGCCAGCGAACCCCAGGCCAGCCAAGCAGAACGTGCGAACTTAACCACTGCACCACCATGCCGGCCCCAGATAAACATTTTATTTGTTCTCACTATATGGAAAGAGGCAGCAAAGTCAAAACAAAAAAGCACTATTCAAAACTGCAATTTGATAGTCTGCCACGACTGAGTTGCTGTTTGATTTCAGAAAAGCCTCTTCACTTCTCTATCCTTCATACTATTTACTAAAAGTGGCAACGCCTGACCGCTTAATGATCACATATGCTTACAATGAGACTAAATGACCTTACGTGGTTCAAATTTTTTCACGATGAGTTTTAAGAGACAGGAACTTGTTCAGTAATATTTCCTAAAAGAAAATGCCAGTTCCTCCATTCCCTTAACTGTATATCCCCTCCTCTTCCTCCTCCTCTTTCATGTGCCATTTCTCTGATCCACTCCTCTCCCACCCGCCCCTCCCCCGCCGGGGGCCTTTCTGGTCCCAGATTCCACACAGCAATGAATAATCTCACCTCAGACTAAACAGACAGCAGAGGGCCAGTTATATTTTGATTGGTTTCTTTTCGTCCTTGTCCTGACATCACTGCTACCTTACTTGCCCAGCCATTCAATGTATAGACAATGCTACCAGAAAGTCTGAAGCTATTACCCTCATTTCCACCACTAGTCAACTGAAGTCTCCCATTCCCAAGCTCCTCATCTAGAAATTGAACCACTTTTAGCCTGTCCTAAAATCTAGGGAATGTAGGGTAATGTTAGACAAATGCACAGGATCTGAGAAACACAATTCAAAATACTACTACCCTATACTGATAAAAAGCATGTATATGAGGCTGAACACATGAAATATCCGAATGGTTCCTCATAACTTACAAAAAAATATGGATCTGATCATACATTTTATGGTGGTTTGTTAATGAGAGAAAATAGGCTTAGGATACAGGAAAAATAGAAGCAGAGATAAAGAGGTAAAATGCTGCAGTTAAATATTATTGGTCACTGGCTTAGAGATCTCGATTATATAGAATTATTACATGTTATATCGTTTATCTTTTTAAAAAAGGCCCTAACAAAAAAAACATGTATAGCCAGAGGCCCAGTTCTGCACACAAAAGCTGACTTTACACATAAATTGCGAAGTGCCCCAGTAGTCAATTACTTAGTACTAAGTATCAATCAAAAAGATACTCCAAGTTAAACAAAATAACTTTTCATCTACTTTAAATCAAATACATTCAAAAAAGAGTTTAAAGAAACAGTAATTGAAAATGAAAAGCAAAATAAACCAAAGATTGTACTATATCGCTCACTTACTCAGTGAAGGAATATTACAAAATCAGCATTCTGTTTTACAAATAAACTTTCAGTTGCCTGGAATAAATACATTTTACAAATTCAAGTTAAGTGAAATGTATATACACAAGAGTAAACCTCAAATAAAGGTGTGAAGCTTTTCTAATACAATTTACAAACCTGTGCAAAAATCTTAACCAGCCGGGAGCTGTGTGAGGGTCGAATTTGTAAATATTCTCTCCACCACTGCTTAGCATATACAAGAAATAATCGCTCTTTCTCTGCAGTTTTCTGACGTTCCAAAGCAAGCTTGAAATTTAAAAGAAGAGTCAATTTCTATTCATTCTCCTTAATTCATTACTACAAAATATAGAACAAATCTATGCACTTTTTTCCATCACCACCCTAATCTAAGCTACCATCAGCTCGTCTGTAAGAACCTCCTGACTCCCTTGTTCCTATACTTTCCCCAGTACAATCCAGTCTCTATACGATAGTCAGTGATCTTTTTTCTCCCAATACAGACATTTTCAATAATAAAAGATATTGTTATTCTCTTGCTTAAAACTAATAAATTGTAATTTTCTAAAAAGAGTACTTTTTAGGATCAACAGGTAAATATACTACTATGAAAACAAATACACAAAGAGGAGAAATCCAGAATTATTTACCTGCGTGTTTACTACTTCTTGAGATAAGGTTTGATTGAGTGCTGGGTACATCTCAAGTTTTATATTTAAAATTCCCACAGCAACTTTTGATTCTGTGCCTATAAATATAAATAAATATTTAGAACTCCAGAGGTTTCAATAGTAGGTATAGTCAGTCAACCAAAGCCTAACCAAAATAATTTACGAATTTTGTGCTTTACCACTTACGTAAAATAAAGACGATATTTAACATCACCTTTAATATTCATATTAAAAATGAACGAAATCAATTTATTTTTATTTTGTACAAAGGCTTTCATCTAATTATAAAGAGATAACCTATTTTCTTAACTTCCTAATCACATTTTAAGGGACTTTTCGGACTTAAAGGATTTGGGATTCTTCATTTTGACTTTCATTAAATCTATCATACCAACCAGACTTACAATAAAAACAAAGTCAAAGCAACTGTTAATACCTCATTCTCAGAAAATATTTATACTCTTTGTCTCATATAGTCATTCCCATTTATCCCTTCCATTTTCACACCACATGGGAGGACAAATTTTCAAGCTATGCCCGGATTTAAAGAATTGGAAAACAAATATACTTCACATCAAAACTATTTAATATTTCTTTGCTGAATGAGAATACACTTGTTTCTGGGTCATTACTATAATTATCATGTTAGGCCTACATTTGAAGACAAATAATGGGTATCTCGTTTGAAAATAAATCTCCTACATAAAACTTTTTTCTCTACTTTTTATTTAAGGAAAAACTCATTGATGGTCTGACTTATCAAAATCTAAATTAGTAAAGCTATACTGTCCAATGGCCAGACTTAATTCTGTGACTACTTTTCAATACCAAAGTCATTCCATTATGTTATGCATAAAACACTGGTAGGTTTTCATTGTATCAGCACATATGTATTACCTATCAAGTAGTAGGCAAGAGGCCAAGGAGACAATGGTGCATAAGATAGGCACCATCTCTGTCTCAAAGAGTACTATTCATTGAGACGGACACTGAGCAAGTCAGGTCCTCTGAATGCCACTTGCCCACATGTAAAAGGTTAGAGTATCTACTCCATATCCCACAAGAACTGCCGCTGTAGGAAACTACTGTTACTATCAGGGATGTACTGTATTCTGGGATGTAACCGAGTGAAGGTTTTTTTGCGTATGCGTGCATGTATATGTGTGAAGAATCTTAATTTTCTTTATAGCCTTATACATAATCAAATAAACTTTTTTTAAAAAGCTCTCAAAATTTCATATTCATTTCCCGTAAAAAAAGTTTTCCTTAAAACAAGGCCAGATCGACTGTCAAGTTCTACACTCATCCTATTCTTCAAGACATTTCCCAAAACTACAATACAGGGGGCCAATTGTAATTCTAATGAAATTCTTTTTACATGTTTCCCTCTTGGTTTATAAAGGCATTTAAAAAACATAAAATGTATTTACAAACAAACTGTGGCTATAAAAAGGTAACAATGATATTAATCATCATACCTACACCCATAAGTTCCACGGTAAGATTGGTCACTCCATTTTCTGAGCCTAAAACGGACCGCCATTCGAGAAAATAGGATGCTACTAAAGTGGTCTCACCAAATATGTCTGTTTTGATTAGCACCATATGAATTGGATCACTTATTGATAACATTGTCGTTGAATCAGCCATTCTAGTTCCATCACCTAGAAACATAAACCAAAAAAAAAATCACACCACATTACATATTCTGTTAGGCCAACAAAAAAGAATACTTTTATTGAAAAGGATACTAGTTATAAACTTATATAAAACCAAATAGAATAATTTGGTAATGCCTCAGAAAGTGTGTGACAGACTGAGAATAAAAGTATGCTCCTACTTCTATCACTAACTTTTGAGAGGACTGGCAGAATTGTGACAACTTATCTAGTTACTTAATGCGTATCAGTGTTTTGTAAGAGAGAAATCTGTCCTGTAAAAATACTTAACTAAAGTATATGCTACTACAATAAAAAGCCTTCAACTACGTCAACACTAATCCCCAAACTACTTTTATCCCTAAACCTCCAGAAATAATCACTGCATTATCCACACAAAACTGAACATCTGGCACCTTGGAGCTAACAATTTAAGCCTTATTAGGCTTAAATTAGGAGGGGAAAAAAAAGATTTTGGTAGAGCATTAGCCATCATAGTAATCTAAAATTCTTAAGGCATAATTCTACAACTTTCCTAAGTTTACAAATATATTACAAAGATTTCTATATTGACAACTAAAATGTATAAAATACCTTTACAGAAAGAAATAGTGTAAAAAATTATAAAAAACAAATATCATAATTTTAAAGTTATAAAAATGAGAGTTATAGACTCACATCTAATATATCCCCAGGACTTGCCTAGTATAGTATCATGCACCTAATAGGTATTTAAATGTTTATTACTAAAGAATCAACCATTACAACAGTCAAAAAATCATCTTCAAGGAAACTAAATAGCAGAAAATAAAGCAAGAAGGTGGCTAGAAGTAGTTTATACAGTAAAGAGCAGTGAGGAAAAAAAAATAAAACAAAAGCCTAGGGAAATTCACCCATTATAAATCTTCCTTACAGTAAAAGTTGTTATAGGTGTTCTGCAATAAAAGGTAACAAAGATTTACTCAATTAAATGACAACTTTTTATTGCTCCTTACCTAAGCTTTCTCTGTGTACTTCAAGTAAAAACCCATCGTGAAAATCTGGTTCACAGGCACACGGAACAGGTTTAGAACGAAAACGTTGGTTTCGAAAATGTAAACATAAAGTAAAGGTTGAACAAACTTGTCCCGGTAAAGGCTCAGGTTCTTGCAGATGTTCCAAGAAAGCTTTTCCACCCAAAACCTGAAGGTAAAGATACCTCCGTGTTGGATCAATATTAGCTGTAAAGTGTAGCAATATATATGAGGAAACTGCTAAATAACTTAAGGAATGTGATCAAGACAACAGGAAATAATAACTTCACAAAAATAAAACTAAGACTAAAAAAGAAAGAGAGTAACAAATTCACTGTATACCAGGACCATTTGCACCCGGGAAAGGACAGATACACAATATGGTCTCTTTTGCTGAGTTTCCCTTCTGGCCTCTTTCTCCAGCTGGAAAGGAGGCAGAGGCAAGGGGTAGGATACCGCGGCTTCTCAGCTGCTTATCCAACATTCCTTCACTTCCACAAACCAACCCACACAATGATCAACTCAGCAAGTGTACTCCTTAGATAATTACACTCCCATTAAAAAAGTAAAGCTGTACAATTTTTATAAAGTATATTATTAGAACATGAGAAACAGGTGGTCCTGTTTTTGCTTCCACTCTGCTATACATTAAATCTTCTGACATACATCACGCAAAAAAACTTTTTGAATGATTAGTCACATATTAAGTATTTCATTCTGTACAAAAAGAAACTGAAAAGTTTTCTATCAAACACCAAACACTACAGCACATCTATTCACAGTACTATCCACAACTAAATTAACGGTAAAAAGAAATACACATACTTTTTTTTAACAATGTCGATTGTCTGTCAGTAAAACAAACAGGTTGTTTTGGAGAGGAAGGGAGTTCTTGATCAACATTGTCCTAAAAAAGCAAAAAACAAAAAACTGAAACAAATTAGAAACAAAAATTACTGTTAAGCAAAGAAACACTAATAACAGGGCTAAGCACTGAACAAAACCAATGGGCTTTAGATAGGAAAAAGCCCCTCAAAAAACTCTTCATTTTCCTAGTATTATTAAAACAATGAAAAGCCTGAAAAGAAGATGATGCAGCTGGTCACTCCTGAAGTCTAATATTAAGGAATTAAGTTGACCTTAGCCATGTCCGCAGAATGCTAAAAACAAATCCTTAATGCCTCAAACGAGGTCAAACTTTCTCTGACCTCATATAACATTTGGCTTATGAGTCCACCATGAATTGACTATTTTTAATAAGGAAGTGAGATTCACACAGTAGAAGCTGTTAGTAGGCCACTTTTTATAACAAATGGGTTCATAAACGTCAAAAACCAAAAATGGATGTCGTATTAAAATACTTGTTCCCTGGTGTATTATGAAGTCCATCCAATTTTTCCATTATATTACCCAGGTATTGAGGTCACAGTTTCTCATTATTGCCTCATTTTCAAGAGAGGCCTACTTACTAATTTGTGCACCGAGAGGCTATCATCCCACTACTGACCTATTTGTATGAAAAGATTTGAAGGTTCTTACACAATTATTTTCTTAGAGAAATTGATGACTTGTTAATCACAGAGAAAATAATTCCAAAAGAGTGTGTTTTTTTAAAAATAAGCCTAATCTTAAAAAATTATAGAAAAATACTAGTGGAAAAGAGCTAGGTTATGATGAACTAATTTTATTAAAATATATATACCTGAAATTACAGACGTAGAGAATAACAAGAGAAAATTCTGTCACTGTAGAGAGAGGAATATGGTAGATAACTCCAATTTCATCAATACATAATCGTACTTGCTACATTCAAAGGTAGAATTAGCTTACACTTGAACCAAGGATATTACTAGACAAAATGGTCTTACTCTAAAGTGGTTTTACTAAAACGAGGGGCCCCCAATATGGACCCTATAAGCAGCATTAAACATGAGAATATACTTATACTATCAATTTCTTTCCCCTAAAAGATCACTCACAGTAACAAAATTAAGTTCTTTCATCACATCATCAATGATTCCCCGACGTCTAAGGGCTTTAATCAAATCTTCTGTGGATAACTGCTGTTGATCAGGTGCCAATTCTTCACGTATTGTCTCAGCAAGGATTTCTCTTATTCTGCCATGGACATCCATCTGTGAAGAAAACTCGCATTACGACTTACAGCATTACAACGTGGTCAAATATTGCCCATTAGCTAATTTTTTTCTAAAATGCTGACTCAAAGGAAAAAATGAGATAGTAGACAGACTAAATTCAGGAAGGCTTCTTAAGCTAATAATAAATGTAAAATTGCTACCAGAATTCAATGAGAATAAACAGTTTTTAAATAAAAAAGCAAAGAAAAAATAAAATTTTTTAGTCCAAATTCTAGAAATAAACTCTACTGGTTATTTACTACCCTTTTTACCCGTTCTCCACAAATAACACTCAACCAAAACAAATCTTTAGAGAGAGAGTACAGAATAATCAAAAGAACACAGATCTGGAGGAGGCGATCAGCATGAACTTCAGCCTTCAAGTTATTAGACGTGACCTCGAGTTAACTCATTTACCCTCGATGAATCTGGAAATAAGCGCACTGTCAAGATCGGGAGGCTTAGATAGACGGCAAGGTGCACAATAAACGGCAGCTTGCATCCGTTCGGCTTACCGCCTTCGCCGAGCACCCCAAGACACAACGTTCTTCTTGAGCCCCGAAGGATCACAAATACTTTCATTACAAATCCTTCAGTAATTTCTCTTTCGTGACTGGAGGACTGCAGAGCTGGCTCGACTTCAACGACACCGCAAGGTTCACCCTTAAAGTAGTTCTAATCCCTGACATCTGACTATAAACCCGCTGCAAACACGACTTGGACTCGATCTGACTTCCAGAAACCGCTCGATAAACGCTTCCGTTTCACGCTGTCCTAGGACACCAACACCGCTCTACCGCCTCATCGTCTAACTGGCACTTTCTGGGCTTGCTCCTCCATCGAGGCTCGAAAGTCCTCTGGCTTCAAACCCGAGGCTCCGCGCATCCCGCGCTCGGCGTCTCACAGCCTTGGCCCGAGTGCCCGGCAAACCGGGGCCGTCGGCGGCCAGGCCGAGGGACACCAGGCCGGCGCTCGGGGCCCCCTGCGGGCAGGAGCGCGCCCGCGGCCCTCACCTTGCTCAGCTGCTGGTGGATGAGCTGCTTCAGCTCGGAGGCTTTCTCCGGGGGCAGCGACATGCTGGGGCCGGCGCCTCGCCGCCAATCCTCCCCGCTTCGGGCGCCCCAACCGCGCGGCGCGCGCCGGCCGGCCTGGGAGCGTCAGTCAGCGCTGAGCACAAAGCAGGCGCGGCCGCTCGCCCCGCGCAGCTCCCGGGGGCGCGACGCCGCGTCAGGCCCTGGCCGGGCAGTAGCCAAGGCTGCGGCAGCGGCGGCGCCCAACTGTTGTTTTCAAACGGCGGCGGCCAGCCAGCCTCGGGGCTGTCCCCTGCTCTGCCTGATCATCTCCGCCCGCCGCTCCCCCTCCCTCGGGGTCCTCACTCCGCGACCTCAGGGCACCTCATCGCCTTGCCTTGCCAGGGCCTCCGGACGCGCTGCTCGCCCCCATCTTTTCCCCTGTCGGGATCCCTTTCTGTCCTCCGGATGGGCAGGTATGTGGACGGGCCCCTCAGGACCCCGCGCCGAGGGACTCGAAGGACCCCACCCTGCTGGCCCCGCCCCGCCCGCCTGGTCCCTCCACGCGCCTGTCGCGCGGGGATCCGCGGTCTCCGCGCGAGCCTGCGGCGTTGACCTTGCGGTTTTCGCCTTCTTGCTGCTGTGGTCCCTCCCCGCCCGGCGCCAATCCCTTCCTCCCACGTAGGACCACCATGTTTGTTCCCTGCGGAGAATCGGCTCCCGACCTCGCGGCTTACACCCTGCTGATGGTGAGTCCCCACTTTCGCGAACTCTCCACTGCCCGGCTTGGGGCTGCTGCCTCTCGGGAGGCGCCTCCACCCCGGCTCGGCCGCCCCGGCCCTGGGAGCACGGGTACCGGTTTCTCTTCCAGGTTTTCGGCCTTCGGGGAAAACACCGGGAGGACGTGGCCGGAGGCGGCGGTCCGAGCAGAACCTTTGTTGGCGCTGTCACCGAACGTATCTAAGTCTGCAGTGTGTAGTCTTTGTTGACTAAAACGTAACGTGTTTGGATATGACAGTTACGTTGTGCGAGTCATTCTCTTTACGTTTTATCCCAGAAAATCTTTTCTCAGCTAGATTTGGAGTCATTCTTAAGCTAGCAAGTCATCGTCGTTAATCAGAAAACTACAGATAGGGTAGTAAAAGTAACCTTTCCTAGTAACCACACGGTTTTGTCGCTCTTAAAATTGCCCGTAGGGGCGGGCCCCGTCGCCGAGTGATTAAGTTCGCACACTCCGCTTGGGCGGCCCAGGGTTTCGCTGGTTCGGAGTTTGGGCGCGAACATGGCACCGCTCATCAAGCCATGCTGAGACGGTGTCCCACATAGCGCAACCAGAAGGTCCTACAACTAGAATATATAACTATGTACTGGGGGGCTTTGGGGAGAAGAAGAAGAAAAAAATGATTGGCAACAGATGTTAGCTCGGGTGCCAATCTTGGGGGAAAAAATGCCCATATTCATTCATTGTTTCAATAAACATTCTGTTATGCGAAAACGTTAGAATAAGGCTAGGTCCTTGTCCTCAAGAAGTTTACAACCTAATTGGCAACACGTAAATCAATAAGGGCAGTAAAAGCTAGGCTAGAAGTTTGAGAAGGGTACAGAAAAGCCCTAGGATTTATTGGGAGGGGGAGGGACACAAGGACCTTTAAGAAAAGCTTTATCTATGAAATCCTAAAACAAAAAAACAACTCCTAGATACAGAGAACTGATTGGTGGTTGCCGCAGGGAGGTGGGGGTGGTTAAGTGAAGTGGGTGAAAGTAATCAAAAGGTACAAACCTCCACTTACAAGTAAGTCCTGGGAATGTAATGTACAGTGTGGTGGCTGTGGTTAACAGTACTGTATTATATATTTGGAAGTTGCTAAGAGAGTAAATCTTGAAAGTTCTCGTTACAAGAAAAAAAAATTTGTAACTGATGATGGAGGTTAACTAAACTTATTGTAGTAATCATTTCACAATATAAATGTATCAGATTACTATGTTGTATATCTAAAACTAATACAATGTTATATGTCGATTATATATCTCAATTTAAAAAGAATGATAGTAATAGAAAAGTCACTTTTTGTCAATTTTCGTTGTAATAATGCACCCAAGAAATAGCAATGATTCCGAACATAGTGTGCAATAGTGTACTAAGGAAGAAAATTTTACGTAATTTCAAAGTCTCTCTCTGAAAAATATGTATTAATCACAAAAGGGAAAAAGTATCTTTGCAGGAGTCACTTGGCAGAAAAGGAAAAAAGCTTCATAGAGAAAGTAATGTCTCAAAGATTATTGGTGGTAACACTTATCAGTTAATGAAGAGGGAAGCCATACTAGAGTGGCTTAAATGGGCAAGAGGTGGAGATGTGTATGTGTATGTATTCATTCATTGGTTCAGAGATAAAGTTCCTGCATGTTTCAGTGGACAGCTATGGGGCATTTTGGCTGTGGAGGAAAACAAATAAGGGAGGTGGTGGTTAGGGGAGTATGTGGGATCACGGGAGGATTTTTTAGAAGGAAAGATATTAGAGCATGTGTATATGCTGATGGGAAGAATCCAATAGTGAGGAAAAGATGGATGATACAGGAGAGTGAGGGTCTACCCAAAGGAGCAGAATCTTTGACAAGGGGAAAGGGAATTACAGGAGATAACCAGGGGATTAGTAGGTGACAGCAGCGAGGGGTAGGAGAGCACTCTGAGGGACCCAGAAAATAAGATGAAAGCCACAAAAAAAAAGCAACTGCTGGAAGAATGCAAAGGAGGAGCTACATTAAAGAGATACTTTAAAGAGAGAGTTGATGAAAATTAGTCATGTATTAGATGTGGTTGGTAAGGGAAAGGGAAGAAGTTTCCTGGTTTAGGTAATTGAGTGAATAATTGTTGCTCTTTTCTGAAATACAAAATAGAGGAACAAGTCTGGGCAAAAGTTTAGTTTTGTATGTGTTGAGTGTGAGTTGCCTGTGACATAAGCATGTGGAGATACCCACTAGGCTCTGGCGTTCAGATAGGGTTCTGGGCTCTAGGTAGAGATTTGGCGGTTGGACTGTTTAAGTCACGGGGGTAAGTGTGTGTGTGTTTAGTGTGAAAAGAAGCTCACTCCAGCCTTTAGGCAGTGACAAAACAAACAGAAGAGCCTTTTGTCCATCCCTCATGGCCTTTACACTTGCTTGCCCACCGCCTGGAATAGTCTTTTCCGTGGTCTTTGTGTGGCTCCCTCCCTTACCCCTGAAATCCCTTACCCCTTTCAGGTCTTTAATTACTTGTCACCTGAAGTGAGTCTTTCCTTGATCACTCTGTTTAAAATTGCAACCGGCCATGTGCACACACACTCTTCACTCACTTAATTTTTCTCCATAGCACTTACTACTGTGTTTTGTTTTTTACGGTAAACCACTCCCTCACTAGAATGGAAGCTCCACGAGGGCAGGAACTTGTTCGATTAGTTTTACTGCATTCCCAGTGCCTAGAGTGATGATTGACATGTAGTATAATATGAAAGAGTCAGTATCTAGCTATGAGGCACCTGAGCATAAGCATTCAGTTCTAGTGCTGTGATTACTGTCTTCTGTGTAAACTTTAAAGTGCTGCTAATTTTGATGACATAATGAATGTATTTTTTATTTCAGCCAGCAGTATCTGTTGGAAATGTTGGCCAGCTTGCAGTAGATCTGATTATTTCTACACTGAATATGTGTAAGATTGGTTACTTCTATACTGATTGTCTTGTGCCCATGGTTGGAAACAACCCATATGCAACTGCAGAAGAAAATTCAGCAGAGCTCAGTACAAATGCTGAAGGTATGTAAGGCTTCGGCATGTTTTGTTCTACTACAAGGTAGAGTTGTTATAAGTTAGAAATATACTCCAGATACTGTTTTGTAGCGAACATTTATGTGGTGCCAGTTCTGTGCACAATGTACAACCCAGTCACGTTGTCCTCTTCTCTTATATCCTGGTTTTAGTTCTTAGCCTTTTCTAGATGGCAACTGCTATGAGGGACGTGCTTATACTTGTATCTTTGGATACAGTTTGAGATTTCCATTTTTATAACATGGGGGTTTTCCCCGTTTTATCCTCAGTTTTATTTTCTGTTCTCACTGGCGTGTGTAAGCATCACTAATACCAAAGAAAGGGGAAAAGAGAATTCCCCTGGGCTCAGTCCTGTGAGTTTAATGTGTGCTGCCTCCTCTAAGCCTCACAGTCATCCTCTCACATTCTTCTAGAAACCGTAATAATATGGGATGGATAAGGCCCAGAGAGGTGGGTCTGCCTGATGCTACTGGCGGGCGTTGGCTTTTCCCGCTCTGTAAATCTCCGTAGGTCCTCATTGGACCTTCAAGCTTGGTGAGTCAGGGACCAGTTCACGTTGCCCGACCACTGTGTTTAGGACGCGGGACTGCACCGAGTGAGTGGGGGAAGTGCTGCTAATCCTGACCCCAGCGCATCAGCTACTTCGTTTGATGGCTGGCTGCTCTGTTGGCCTCTCAGTCTTCTGTTTACCATTTTAAGGTGAAAGCCAAAGGTGGTAGAGGAACGTGAAAGACCATTGGTGGGCTGAAAGACCAAGGAGAAGCATTTTATTTGTTGTCAGTCTCATTAACCATGTTATTAGCTTGCGATAATGAAATACACTTTCAAGAAATAACCTTAGGGGGCCGGCCCGGTGGCACAGCAGTTAAGTGCGCACGTTCCACTTTGGCGGCCCGGGGTTCACCAGTTGGGATCCCAGGTGCAGACATGGCACCCCGTGGCAAGCCATGCTGTGGTGGGCATCCCACATATAAAGTAGAGGAAGATGGGCACGGATGTTAGTCAGGGCCAGTCTTCCTCAGAAAAAAGAGGAGGATTGGCAGATGTTAGCTCAGGGCTAATCTTCCTTGGGAAAAAAAAAAATAGAAATAACTTTAGTATTGAAATTCCTTCAGGAAAGATGACTTTTTTATAGCACAAGACTGAATTTCAGTTATTGCCTTAGAAGTTAAGGACTATAAATGGTAGAACTAGAATTTATATTATTCCACTAAGGGCAACAACTATCAGTTACTATTTCCTATGAGCTGACCACTGTGTGCAATTACATGTGTTAATTCATTTAATCCTCACAATGACTCCATAGGTAGTTTTATTGATGAGGAAACTATTGCACAGAGATGTTCGGGTCGCTTGATTAATAATTGGTGTAACAGAGCTTCTTCTCAAGCCAGCCTGGCCCCTGAGACCTGCCTCTTATGCCCCAGCCCACCCTGCGAATGCGCCTTCGCGCTAGTGGGAGGCCCGCCAGGTTCCCTCTGACACAAACCGGCAGCAGGCCAGTTGGATATGGTTCTTTAATCCACTTCTTTTTTTTTTAAGATGAGGTATTTTGAAATAAATTATGGACATTTCACTCCCAAATATGTAAGCGTGCATCTCTTCTAAGAACGTTTTCTTACATAGCTAAAATACCATCCCATTTAACAAAATTACCGATTTCTTAATATCCTCCTCTATCCTATCCATGTTCAATTTGGACTAGCTTACCCCAAAATGTCCTTTAAAGTTAGTCTGTCTAAGCCAGGACCCATAGTACATCTGATTGTTGTGCCTTTGAAATCTCTTTTACTCTAGTGTCTTTTTTTTTTCCTTTTTCACCAAACTGATTTGTTGAGGGAAAAACTGGGCCCATTGTCCTATAGAATGTCCTGCTTTCTATGTTTGTCTGATTCTGTCATTATGGTGTCATTTGGCTTGTTCCTCTGGTCTCTGTATTTTCTGTAACTGGAGTTAGGTCTAAAGGCTTGATTAAATACAAGTTAAATATTTTTGGCCAGAATCCGTGAGAAGTGACTTTGCATCACATCAGAAGAAAAAAGTACTGGGAAACAGGATCTTAACAACAGAATAGAATTGCATGATAGACTGATGGAGAACGTGAGTATTGCTGTTATAGAAGGTAATGTGTCTTACATTTTACAGCTTAGCCTGCCCTCTCCCTACAGATATGTCCTCTTCCCTCTAGCTCTGCTGTATGTGTATGTCAGATAGATTAGAGGCCTGAGTGACCTGTGCCTTAGTCCCTGTTCCCTAATTCCTCAACTTCCTGTCCAGCCTCCTTTGCGCTGAACATACCTAGTGGTCACTAGACTTGCTGATGCGGCAGAGGCCCCAGTCACCTCACGCCACCTCACACCAGCGCAAGGAGGCAGTCCCAGAAGGCTGAAACAGGAGAGACATGCTCCACCAAAGGGTTTGCCTGAGTCTGGGTTATTTGGAATCTTTTTGTAGTAACTAAAAGCTTACCCCTTAGCACAGTGGCCTAATCATGTGTCCTTAGAGACTCTGTATGTTGTCCTTGGTTCCTATTACAGCTTCTCCTTCTTGGAGGTGAAGTTGAGCAGGGACATCTTAAACATCAGTAAAGTGGGCTTCTTGTAGAATCTGATGAAAGTTGTGGATTCTTTTCCCAGAAAAAATGCGCAGACATTGATTCACAGAAAATTTCTCTAGAAACAAGAAGGGAGATTATCGGAAATCAAAAACATTCTTAAGAATTATTTTATTTGTCATAATGCCAGAAGTTCCCAAGGGAATACTTCTCTGGTTTTACAAAGTCAGAAAGAAAAAAATTTTTGATATTTTCTTAAAGTTAACTTTTCAGAAATGAATCTGTTCCATAGAATAAAGCCCACAGATCCATTTTAAGGTACTTCTAAAATGTTTTATTTTAACCAAATGATATACTGCATATGTTTTTAATTTTTGAAAGTATTTAGATACCAAAGTTCTTATAATTCAATTTTAATTTTTTATTATATTAAGAATTTCACTTGTATAAGTCCTCCATTTAAGTACCATATGATTTCATTTTTTCTTGTCTTTGTAGTATATTCACTGCCTTCAAAGAAGCTAGTGGCTCTTCAATTAAGATCCATTTTTATTAATGTTATTATATTTGCCTTTTTTAAGTTTGTTAAACTATAATGAGAAAATACTAAGTCTGTAAGAGTTTAAGATTCAAAAATCATTTCTCCTCTTTTACTATGTGTACAGTTAAAGGTCTGATTCTACAGAAAAATTATCTCAAAATTTCAGAGGTGTTACCCTTATTTCATGACTATATTGAAGGGAATTGGACATACAGCTTGGGACTTATATACTCTTGATTCAGGTAGCGCTGGTGAAAAAATGTAAGCATGTGAATATTAGAGGTTTATTCCATTTGTACTACATTTCAACCATCTACATTTAATGATGTATATGTCAAAATATTCTGAGTCCAACTTCTTCTTTCCCCTTCCATTGCTCCCACTCTAGTCCAAACCACTGTCACCTCACGCCCCTGATTCTGCTCTTACACCACCACTCCCCACAGACTCCTAATAGTCGGTTCTTTTTGTTCTCTTCCTAATATCAGTTCCATAATTGACAGACAATTCAAACATTTCTTTTTTTTTTTTTTCTGCTTTATCTACCCAAACCCCCCTATACACAGTTGTATATCTTAGTTGCAGGTTCTTCTAGTTGTGGGACGTGGGATGCCACCTCAACATAGCCTGACGAGCGGTGCCATGTCCGCGCCCAGGATCTGAACCCTGGGCCACCGCTGCAGAGCGCGTGAACTTAACCACTCGGCCACGGAGCCGGCCCTCAAACATTTCTTAATGAAATTTTTAGTAGATGGAAATAGAGTGATTTCAAAATAGCAGATACTTATTGAGCATCGAGTCCTTGCACCAGTACTGTTCTAAGTACTTTATGTACATTTCTCTACTTAATCCTCACCACAGTCCTCTGAGGCAGGTACTCACATTCTCCTCATTTTGCAAATGAGAAAACTGAAATGGAAAGGTTAAGCAATTTGCCTAAGACATGGTCTAGAGGAGGTGAAGCCGGCATTCTAGACCAGGCAGCCTGACTCCAGAGCCTGCCTCTCTTAACCATTATAGTATACTGCCCTCCTGTTTTTAAAAGTTAGCCATTTCTTACCTACATTTTAAATTTTATTGAATATTTTATTAACAGTCTGTGAAAAGAGCTTTCATAAAGTAGGTTTTCCCCCCTAAATTTTATAATCCACATTCCAGATTAAATAATTGTTAACATCTGGCCACCCTTGGTTACCTTTCTCTCTCTAGGCATGTGCACACACAGTTTCCTTTGGCAAACAATCCAAAAGTAGACTAGCGACATCATGATATTTCACCCCTAAATATTTCAGCACACATCTTTCAAGAACAAGGACATTTTCCTTCACGACCACACACCACTACTACACCTAAGAAAATCAGTGTTTAATGAACATTCAGTAGTATCATCCAACATATTTACATTTCCCCAGTTGTCCCCAAAATATCCTTCAATTCTGGATCCAGTCAAGGTCCACACGTTGCATTTGGCTGTTAGATCTTTTTAGTTGGTATCCTTCAGTGTAGAACGGGCCCTCCTCCTCTTTCTGCTCTTCACAGTATTGACTCCTTTGAGGAACCAAGGCCAGAGGTTCTGCATTCTGGATTCGCCTGGTTGTTTCCTCAGGATCAGATTCAGGTCGGAGATCTCTGGCGAGAACATCTCATGGAGGACCATGTGGTAGTTTTCAAGTAACAGTTGATTACTTAGGTGGAGAACTGGAAATTTTCCTTTGTCAGTCTGAATAGAATTCTTTTGAAATCTAGATTCCTCCTAATTTGTTTCTTAATTGCAAAGATATCATAATTCATGGCTCTTCATTTTTCACCTTCAGTTTAAGGGCAGCAGGTAGATATCAAAGTAATTGTAATTTTAAGATATGTAAATTATGTCATCACATAAAGTTGATAAAATATTATGTAGAGTACTCTTATAGTCTAGGATCTAACCTTTAGATTTTCTTTTTATTCTTTTAATGGTATGCAAAGTATAAATCAAAGCCATTCTGTGAAAAACTACTTTCCTGGGTGAAAAGTAGTAACTGTGCCAAAGTTATTGTTCTTTCAAGCAGTCATTCCTATCACCGTAATGATCTACAGCTTTGCAGGTAAGTTTTTGTCTTTGAAAAATTGTGTTATGATTTATACAGTATTATGATGCGTCTCTATTAAAAAGTTAAAATAGGGGCTGGCCCCGTGGCCGAGTGGTTAAGTTTGCGCGCTCCGCTGCAGGCGGCCCAGTGTTTCGTTGGTTCGAATCCTGGGCGCGGACATGACACTGCTCATCAAACCACGCTGAGGCAGCGTCCCACATACCACAACTAGAAGGACCCACAACGAAGAATATACAACTATGTACCGGGGGGGGGAGGGCGGCTTTGGGGAGAAAAAGGAAAAAATAAAATCTTTAAAAAAAAAAAAAAGTTAAACTTGAAAAACCATGTACATCCTCTCCTCTCCTCCCTAGAATTTAGAAAGAAGGTAAAAGAAAGTCAAGGGACAGGAGGGAGTACAGTCAGGTGGATCCTTGTGGTTCCTGTGGTCGGGGCACAGGAAGGCTTTGGTGTAGACAGAGATGATTCTGGGACTGTGCTTTGATTGTTTGCTGTCATGTGCGTGGCAACATCACAGAGCTCAGCTGATGAAGAGAAAGAGGAGAAAAGGGTACCTATGATTTATTGGTTGATAACTTTTGAAAGATCCGGTTGAAATTTCTGTTTATTTCCAGGTATTCAACCATTTCTATTTGCAGAAATCCAGTTGCCTTTAAGGATAGCTCTCAGCCATGTCACACTGAATTCTAAAATGTAAGACAAAGTATCCAAGAGATAGAAATATAATCTATTTTATTGCATTATCATTTATGTACCTATGAAATCATGATGAAAAGTATCAGCCAAGGGTAACCTTTCAAAACTGGAGCTAACTTCTAGGACTCTCACAAAAGACATTACATTTCTGGGAATCTTACAATAGGCCTCACAGCCAGAAGAGCAGAGCTGTGGGAAACAGGCTTATCTTCACGGTGGCCTGCCTTAGTTTCAGTTTTCCTGTCTCTTTACACTCTCTCCTAAGGATGTAAATAGCAGACCAGAGCAATACTTTTTACGTTATTCATCTGTAGACTCCTAAACTTGTGTTTTGCCTTGTGTAACAGAGTATATGGAGAACGAGATAATTTTTGGTAAAACAGTTGATATTTTCCTTAATGTTGGTATTTGTGAGTTTTTAGAAAGTTAATAGTATGATTGTTTCTAGTACTCCCTTCAAGTATCTATGGGCACCTTCTGTGCAAAAAAGTGTTCAAAATAAGAGCCATAACTGGGAAGAAATGGAGAAAAGCCCATGCATTCCTGAAATAAATGATTCTGAGTTTTGTGTATTCCTGAAGGAGGTAACACAAAACACAAAAACACTCTGTGATGAGGGGTGATTTTGTTGGCCTGGTTATTTGTTTGTTCCCATCTCATTTAAAAAGGAAAGAAGATAATTGGGAGGGTATGTTGGATTACTTACTGGAACTTTGAAAATACATTTATAAGATAGGTACTATATTACATTCAGGGGAAAGATTGAAATTTAGTTATAGGAGAATTGGTCCCTGAAAAGCCATATTTAATGCTTTACTATGTGTGGCATATTAAGACATCCTGATATTTATTCTATGCAACCTCTGCAATCTTTTTTTATTATTATTTGTGGTAAAATATATATAACATTAAATTAACCATTTTTAAGTGTACAATTAAGTGACATGAAATACAGGCACAGTGTTCTGTACCCATCACCACTACCTACTTTCAGAACTTTGTCCTTGTTCTAAATAAAAAATCTGTATTCGTTAAATAACTATTTTATTTCTGTAAAATTAATATAATGTTCTCACTTTAATTTCTGATTTTAGTAATTTGAATCTTTTTTTATTCTTAGTCTAGCTAAACATTTGTCAATCTTGTTAATTTTTTTCAAATAACCAACTTTTGGTTTTATTGATTTCCTCTCTTGTTTTTCTGTTCTCTATTTATGTCCACTCTAATCTTCATTATTTCCTTCCTTCTCTTAGCTTTGGGTTTAGTTTGCTTTTCATTTTCTAATTCCTAAGATGTCAACTTCAGTTGCTGATTTGAGAAATTTCTTCCTTTTAATATCCAGGTTTACAGCTATAAATTTCCATCTTAGCACTGCTTTAGCTACATCTCTCAAGTTTAGTATGTTGTGTTTTCATTTTCATTCATCCCTGAGTATTTTCTAATCTCCCTTGTGATTTCTTCCTTTGACCCATTGGTGGTTTAATCTCTACATATTTTTGAATTTTCTAGTTTTCCTTCCGTTGTCAATTTCTAGTGTCATTCTGTTGTGATGGAAAAGACACTTTATATGATTTCAGTCTTTTTAATTTATCAGGTCTTGTTTATTGCCCTAACAAATGGTCTGCCCTGGAGAATGTTCCATGTGCACTTGAGAAAAATGTGTGTTCTGCTTTTCTTGGGTGGAGTGTTCTGTGTGTGTCCGTTACGTCTGATTGGTGTAGAGTGTTCTTCCAGTCTTCTGTTTTTGTATTAATCTTCCAGCGGTTTGCTCTATCCTTTATTGAAGTCTCCAGCTATTATTACTGTACTATTTCTCCCTTCAGTTCTGTCAGTGTTTCCTTCAGATATTTTGGGGCCCTTGTTTTGTGCATGTATGTTTATATTTGTTACATCTTCTTGATGGATTGATCCTTTTATCAATATATAATGACCTTCTTTGTTTCTTGTAACAGTTTTTGACTTAAAATCTGTTTTTTCTGGTATTAGTATAGCCACCCTTCTCCCTTTTGGTTACTGTTTGCTTGGAATATCTTCATTTTCAAACTGTGTGTGTCCTTACATCTAAAGTGAGTCTCTTATAGGCAACACGTTGTTGGATGTGTTTTTTTTCACTCCATTCTGCCAATCTCTTGTCTTTTGATTGGAGAATGTAATCCATTTTCATTGAAAGTAATTACTGATAAGAACTGTCATTTTGCTGTTTGTTTTCTATGTCTTATAGCTTTTTTGTTCTTCATTTTCTTATCACTGCCTTCTTTTGTTCTTAGTAGATTTTTTGTAGTGACGTGTTTTGATTCTCTTCACATTTCCTTTTGTATATATTCCATAGATACTTGCTTTGTGATTACCATGGCGATTGTACATTACAATCTAATTTGAGTTTGTTGCATACAAAAACTAAAAAGCTACTCCTATCCACGCTGTCCCCCCATTATGATATTGTTGTCACGAATTACGTCTTTATACATTGTGTGCCCAATGACATAGATTTGTAATTAGTTTTGTGCATTTGTCTTTTAAACCCTCTGCAGTCACTCTTGATTAGTCTTTAGGAATCATGAACAAATGAAAGAATGGAAAAAATGAAAATGAAAGAAACAAGTAAAAGTAAAGATGGGAAAAAGAAAGAGATCTTTTTTTTTCTTTTAGTCCCTCTTTTTGTAAATTGATTTATATGTCCATGCCTGGCTGCCATAAGATTTGTGGACACTTGGACTATCCCTGTCTTTACCTGCGTTATCCCTAGCCTCCTGTTTCGTAGACCTGAGGCTGAGTTCAGGGCTAAGCAGTAGGCCTTGCTGTATCATTTAACTCCTTTTGACGCTTCCTGTCACCACTACATTGCTCAGAGTCAACCAATAAATCTACCTCTTTACTTAACATAAGAAATTTCAGGAATATAAACCTAGCATTGGAAAATAGAATGGCTGGTTTGCTTGCTCTGAAATCTACGCTGTGACTTCTGCATGACCTGAGGAAGTCGCAATAGTAGTAATAGTAATATAAGTAGTAGTCATGGTAATAGCAGCAAATCATGTGGCTGGTACTGTTCTGTGCACCTTACGTGTATTAAGTCATTTAATTCTCATAACGACCATAGAGTACTATTATTAACTTAATATATATTAAGTTAATATAATATTATTATAATAATATACTATTAATTATTATATGTTAATTATTATTATTAACATAGTACTATTATTAACCATTTGTTATAAATAAGAAAATTGAAGAGCACGAGGTTAAATAACTGCTAGAGGCTATATGGGTGGTAAGTAGCAGAGCCAGAGTTCAAACACAGGAATCTGGCCCTTAATCCTCTGCTTTTAACCACTTCACCCATGGTCCAGGATCATAGTGAGCTTTATTCTTTGTCTAACAGTTGAACCTATTTCTTGTTATTTGTAATTATTTATGTCCCTGCTTTCTATCTGAAAATATTTGACTTCTCTGTCAGAAAGGATGCGGGCTTTTCAGCTTGTTTTCCCAGGACAACTTGTTTTATCATCTTTGGCCATACTTTCATATCATTCCAGCTTTCTCTTTTCCCTGGAAACCTACTCTATTCCTATTAAAACCATCGTTGCCTTTAACTTTTCTTTTTTTCCTGGTCGATCACCCGTTTGTGTTTTTACTTCTTTTCCTGTCTAGCTTATTCCCATATTATATCGTTTCAGCTCTTCTCCTACCACAGCCTGGAAGCCCTGGCTGCGAATCATTCTCGGCCCCTGCCCTGCAAACCACCAGCTTTGAATCATTCTCTTGCTTCATTCAGGCCCATCATTTGTGACCCTGACTGCTGTATCAGGCTGCTCAGGCTGCCATAGACCAGGGGGCTTCAATGCCGGAAATTTATTTCCTCACAGTTCTGGAGGCCAGAAGTCCGAGATCAGGCTGCTGCATGGTTGGGTTCTGGTGAGGGCCCTCTCCCTAGCTTGCAGATGGCCACCTTCTTGCTGTATCATCACATGGCAGAGAGCTCTCTCCCCTCTTACATGGCCACAGTCCTGTCACATTAGGGCCCCACCCTTATGACCTCATCTAACCTTAATTACCTGCTAAAGATCCTCCTAAAGAGCCTGTCTCCAGATATAGTCACATTGAGGGTTAGAGCTTAAACATGAGTTTTGGAAAGAGACACAGTTCAGTCCATAGCAATTGCTATCAGGGTCTCTTAATCAATTCCCCTGCCTCCTCCATTCTGACCCACTCCGATCCATCTCAGCAGTCTTGCTAGAATGAACGTTCTGAAATGCAAAACTGATCACAACACTCCCTGACTAAAATCCATCAGCAGTTTTACCCACTTTTTGCAGAATCTAGTTCATAGTCCTTGATATGCCATACAAGGTCCTCTGGCATCTCCTTGCCTGGCTCATTCCCTGGAGCTCTGTCCACGTTGCACTCTGTGCTCCAACTCAGTTACCACCAGTCATGGTTTCCCAACAGCTGTCTCCTTCCTCCTTGCCTTTGTTCCCTCTACTTTTCTCCTCTCGTCTCCCTTGCAAAAACCTACCCAGTTTCCAAGAGTCAACTCACACTTCACTTCCTCTACAACTTGCTTGAGCAATTTACTTCTCTCTCTACTTCCACTGCACTCCACCCCTTCAGACTGACTTCTTTAGAAATCACTCTCCCACTTTTGCTTCTGACCGTGTCAGAGTGCCTGATATCAGGCTTGCCCTTCTGCCATAAACAACTGGAAACTGGACGAAATGAATGAAACAACTGTTTTTCAGACATTGGACAACAAGCAGCGCACAACTGTGGTCCCTGAGAGAAGGCAGGTAAAGTCATGCATCCTGGAGATGCTTTCTGGACTGCAACCCAGGGAAGGGAGGGCACACAGGCAGAGCATGGTGGCCTTGCTCAGTTGAGGAGATGTGATCAGAGTTCAGGAAGGCTGAGACCACTGGAAAGTACAAGGCAGACAACCAGAGATGGGAGCTGCTTGGAAGAGCTCTAGGAGTCTCTCTGAGTCTTTTTCTGAATTCTAAGCCACATGTGTGTAGGGTGAAACTCTCTGAGGCCAAAGAACACCTTCTGGGTAACTGTAACTTGCCCACAAAGTTAGCAACAATAACAGAAAATATTATGAAATAGACATATTATAGAACATTTGGAAAATGTAGAATAGTCAAAAGAAACAATATTTAAAATACTCAATTCCATCACCCAGAAATAACTACCACTACCAACTTTTTTATCTGTTTTCTTCCCAATTTCTTTGAAATACAGTTAAATTGAATGTATGTATCTGCAAGATACTGCAACTCTAATATTTGCAACTTTGGAGTTCATCCTAGTCAAAGATGTTTCTCACAATCTATGTTATTTTCCTTTTTTTAACGCAAATCTTGTATTCATCCATAACCAGACCCATGTTTAATGTTCAATGTAATTATACATTCATCACAATAAAGAATTTTTGAAATTGAAAAAAACAACCCTTATCATACAGCTTATACAATTTTGAATCCTTTTTTCTCCCCGATGCATATCATGATTATTTGCTAAATTTTTTCTAATATACATATTTTGCCTTCCCACTATTAGAAGAAATATGTATTCTCATCTCTGAAAAAGATAATATTAGTTACTCCAAAATAAGTGGTGGCAATGGTGTGGCTGATCTGGGATCCCTTATATTTAATTGGAATAGAAGTACTTTGTAATTTAATAATGGATATATCACGTGCTAAATTTTAATGTCACAGAAAGTACTTAAATTAGTCATCCTCCACCTTCCTTTTTTACAGAGAGGACCAGAGAATGGTATTAAAACTGTTACTCTGTGTGACAGTAGTAGTAGTAGAGGCACCGTGAGTTCAAGACCATACCCCTGGCTTTTGAAGCGGGAGCCTTTAACGTGAAGGCACAGCCAGGGCAGCAGCCTTCCCCACACGGCAGCCATTGCTAAGGCTGTCATAGCGTGAGTGTTTAGGAACTAGAATCTGAGCCATCACAGCTCCCAGTGCCTACATACAAAGCTTGAGAGCCCCTCAGTTATTTGAAAACTATGTACTGAGATGGTATAATTACTGCTAACAACTTCCAGTTTCTCATTTTTAGAGACTCAGATGCTGTGGTAGACTCTCGCGGTACATCTGAGACTGCTGAACCCAGGGTCAGAGTCTCTGCCACTTGGGACCCCAACTCCCCTTTATTTCTGTCCATCATGTGGTCTCATGTTTTGGCCTTAGGATTTTCTCATAGTTCTTGGTTTTGGGTGTTAGAGATGATTTTTGCTTTTTCTTAGCAGACAGGAAGCTTTTTGCGTTGCTGTATCTCCATCTCATCACTAGCTTGAGGCCTTCAGAGCAAAACATTTAGGAGATTGTTTTCAAGACACAAAGACCTAAGTTCAAATCCCACCTCTGCCACTTCCTGGATATAGAACTGGGATCTTGTTACCATGTTTTGGTCCCTTTAAATCTCAGTTGCCTCGCAGTGATAGCAAACACTTCCACAGCATTGACTGTGTGTTCAGCACTGGTCTGAGCACTTTGCCCCCATTACCTCCTTTACACCCCTCAGCAGCCTGCAAGGTTGGGTCTACCGTGATCGCCCTTTTACAGTGAGGAACACTAAAGCCCTCAGTAAGTAACTTGCCCAACATATCTGGTAAGTGCAGAGCTGGAATTTGCATCCACGTATTCTGTCCTTGTTCCCATTGTTTCAAACTGATTCATTTATAAAATGGAGATAATTATAACTTCCTCAAGGATCATTGAGGGATTGAATTGTAAAATATACAGACAGTGCTAGCACATAATAATCACTCAGTCAATGGAATCTGTAAGAAGTAGTGGTAACTTACTTTCCCTGTAACTGTTCTGTTGTATTCCACGGTCTTCCTTTGCTGCTTTAGATTATTGATAACAAGGGTTTTTTCCTTCAGTCTCTTTGCTGCAGGGCTTCTGAAAATCACTGTCTTCTACAGTAGCTTTTGGGAGTGGATCAGAACGTACCTCATGTGATATAGCCAGGGATATGCCTAGAGTGGGCCTTACATGGCTCCTAGTCCTGACCCCACCAATAGAAGAATATATCTGGGGCAAGGGGAGATAAATAAGTGACCTTATGATGTGGCATCTTCTCCTTGCCTACAACCTGGCAGATCATCTTAGCTATAAACTGACTTACTGGAATCAGTATCAGTAGAAGAATACTTAATTATTCTTTTTATTTGTTGTAGCCGTTCTAAAGAAATCCCACTGGCAGTCCTGCTGAAATTTGTTTCCAAAGGAGACAATATCCCAGATGCATTGGGTCTTGTTGAGCATCTTAATGAATGGCTTCAGATAATCAAACCCCGTGTAAGTTTTACTACAGTTTAAGCCTCTGCCTTCTCTGGTTGTGTATTCATAAACTTGCATTTTATATACTATATAAGTAGACCAAATAAGTGAAAGTTTACGTTAAATATAGACGTAACTTTATATAAGGTTTAGTTTAGCTGAAGTTTGGAAAAGGAAAGAGGGCAGTTAACCAACTTGTTGTCTACAGCCCTCATTAAGGCTGGTTTTCCAAAAAAAGAAAATCTGAAGTACTTCATTGTATTCACTGTCTGTGTTTTGTTAATTATACCCGACAGCTTCTTACAAGAGTAAACAAGTCCTGTTTGACATTCAGGACTTTTTTGGGGGGTGGAAAGCACAAGGTATTACTCTGTGAGCAATACAGAGTTATTGAATATGCATTATAATTAAAGTGTTTTTCGCTATTATGAAATAAGAGTGTTAAACCCAGAGTAATCAAGTAGCCTTTAGGCATAACAGGTACCGTAAGGCTGCTTTGTATGGTAGGTATCTTGTCTTTTTAATTTGTGCTTTTGCCAGGAACAATTGATAGAAATGACACAGTACTCACATTTTTTTTTAACACCTGTTTCTTTTGAATTTGATTTTTCTTGATGGACTCCATCCACAGCCTTTCTGGCATATCTTTATCATTTGGAACTTGAGGAAATTTATCTTCAGTTAACATAAAGATAGAGATTTATTACTTTGTTTTTCCTTACAATAGAACCCAGCTTTTTCAAAAACAAAAGGGTCAAAAAAAACTAGAGATGGCAGAGTTTTGTAATACTTACATGTTAAAAGGATATTTGGTGGTAAAGTTGAAGGAGTAAAGTATTTTGTTCCTCAATTACAGTGCAATGACCCCACAGCATCTGCCTTGCTGTGGAAAATACCAAGTTCTTGGAGATTACTCTCTGGCAGTAGCCTTTCCCCTGTGCTTTTTTGATCTGTTCTCAGTTTTATACTCTATGTACCAAGATCCTTTTTACCAACCCAACTGTTGAACAACTGTATAAAAAGTTGTATCATCTGAGAATATATTAGGAAGTAAATCTTTACTTTTCACAGAAAATCTCAAAGAAAAATGGATTAACCAAAGGTTGGTTTTGGTATACTTTTCATCATATACAACAAATGTAAATTTGTACAATAAAATATTTTCTAAGTAATTTTGTCTGAAATGTGTCTTTTTATTGTTTTAATTCAGGCTTCTGTATTAGCTTCCTATTTCTGCTGTAACAAATTACCACAAAGTGGCTTGAAACAACACAAATTTACTATGTTACAATTTTGGAAGTCAGAAGTCCAAAAATAGGTCTCACTGGACCCAAATCAAAGTGTTGACAAGGCGATGTTTCCTCTGGATGCTCTAGAGGATAATCCATTTTCTAAGTCTTTCCAACTTGTAGAAGCTGCCACAGTCTTTGGCTCATGGTCCCTCCATCTTCAAAGCCAACAACATAGCATCTTGAAATCTCTCTCCCCCTTTCACTTATAAGGACCCTGGTGATTACATTGGGCCCACTGTGATATAGTGACCTAGAATTATTTCCCCATCTCAAAAGAATTTTAGTACAAAAGAAATAATAAAAATACTTTTCATTTTTGAGTGTCTTCTACATACCAGTCACTTTTTACACATGATGTCATGTGTCTGCTACTTGGCTGTGTTTCTCATCTGTTTTAAAAACTTATGATATTAAGGGTACACTCTACTCCATAGCACTCAGTAAATGATTGATTTTATTTGTGATATGTAAATCATTCTGGGTTCTGTAGCCTGTTACTGTTTTCCTTTCGGTTAAAGGAGCAGGGAGGGTGGAGTAGGGGCGACAGCAAAAGCTAAAGGGAGTCATGCAAGTTGAAACAAAAAGATGTTAGTAACATGGACGCATACAAAAATATAAAGGTCTGTGGTAAAGGTAAGTAGACAAATACAGAATCCTGTAATGCTATAATGGTAGTGATAAAGTACTTTTAATTCTAGTATAGAATTTAGAAGACAAAAGCATAAAAATAACTATAACTATGTTAATGGATACATAATATATAAAGATGTAATTTGTGAATCAGTAACAACGTGAGAGATGTAAAAGAAAGGAGTTTTTGTACGATTGAAATTAAGTTTTCAGCATAAAGTGGATTGATATAACAATAAGATGTCTTATGTAAGCCCCACAGTAACCAGAAAGTAAAGACCTGTAGAAGACACACAAAAGAAGGTAAGGGAAGAAAAAAACATCAACACCAAAAGTCAATGAAACACAAAGGCACTAGGAGGAAAAGAGAAACAAAAAGAAACAGCGGACAAAATGGCACTCGTGCTATGGTCTGAAAATGTTGTGTCTCCCAGAATTCATATGTTGAAATTCTAACCCCCAAAGTAATGATATTAGGAGGTAGGGCCTCTGGGAGGTGCTTAGATCATGAGGGCAGAGCCTTCATGAATGGGATTAGTGCCCTTATAAAAGAGACCTCAGAGAGCCAGCTTGCCCATTCCCCCATGTGAGAATACAGTGAGAAGTCACCATCTGTGAGGAAGTGGGCTCTCACCAGATGCCAAATCTGCTGGCACCATGATCTTGAACTTTCCATCCAGAACTGTGAGAAATTTATTCTTTGTAAGCCACCTACTTTATGATATTGTTATAGCAACCCAAACAGACTGTGAAAGTAAGTCCTTATTTATCAATAATTAAATGTAAATGGATTAAATTCCTCAGTCAAAAGATAGAGTGGCCTAATGGATGAAAAAAAAATGTAAGTTGGTGCTGTCTACAGGAGACTTTAGATGTAAAGAAACACATAGACTGAAAATGAAAGGATGGAAAAAGATATTTCATGCAAATATAATCAAAAGAGAGCAGTGGTGGCTGTACTAATATCAGAAAAATTAGACTAATCAAAAACTGTCACTAGAGAAAAAGGACAATTATATAAAATGGTCAATACCTCAGGAAGATATAACAATTATATATGCATTCTCAAATTCCTATTGAATCTCAAAGGGCCTCCAATAACCCAAAGAATCGTGAGAAAGATGAACAAAATGAGAAGTCTCACACTTCCTGATTTCAAAGCTGCAAAAGGATTCCTGGCCCCAATTTCAACATGTGTTTGTGGAGGCTTCCCCACACCAACAAACAGTTCTCAGATGCCAGCAGAGGGTCTGAGAATTCAGCTCAATTCTGGCACTATCTAGCTGGCAACAGAATCAGATTCCACAGATAAAGGGCTCAGTCCCACAAGACTGCCCTCTGCTTCAGACACCCTGTGCTTGTTAGCTGTGCTTCTGACTGACCAGCTCCAAATTGGAGGTTCCAACTCCCTCCAAGTCAGGATGACAATTGCAAGTCCAGGTTGTTACTTGTACTTCTGACTGACAGGCCATAAATTAGAGGTTCCTGTGGCCCCCTCCTTGGGCTTGAACTATTTGCTAGAATGGCTCACAGAACTGAGGAAAACCCATTTACTTGCTAGATTACCGATTTATTACAAAGGAAATTAAAGGATACAAATCAACAGCCACATGAAGAGATTCATAGGGCTAGGTCCCAAACAAAGGACATTCTGTCCTCATGGAGCTTGGGGCCCAGCATGGTGGCACGTGGAAGCATTTTGGTTCCCCAATGTGGAAGCTCTCCAGGAAAAAAAAAAGGGGCCAATGAGCTGTCCTTTTGGGTTTTATGGAGGCTTCATTAGGTAGTCATAATTGACTAAGTCATTGACCACTGGCAATTCATTCAACTTCAAGTCCCCTCACCCCCCTCCCTGGAAATCACAGGGTGAAAGTGAAAGTTCCAATCCTCTGATCACATGGCTGGTTTGCTTGCCAACCAGCCCTTACCCTTGGATGAGGTCCAAAAGTCTCCTTCATTAACATAAGTAAGACACCTATTTCACCTTTATGGCCCTGCAGCATTTTCAGAAACTGAGGACAAGAGACTCTATTATAACAAAAGATGCTCCCATGGCTCTTATTGCCCAGAAAATTCCAAGCATTTTGGGAGCTGTGAGCCAGGAACTGTGGATGAAAACCAACTAAACCTGAGAAATTTATTTTGGTCATCTGGATGACCAAATACACACATTTCTTATAAATCACAATATTGCAAAAGCATATTACAAAGCTACAGTAGTCAAAACAATATGGTACTGACATAAAGACAGACGTATAGACCAATGGAACAGAACAGAGCACAAAAGTACGTCTACACATTTATGACCAAATGCTCTTCAATGAAGGTGCCAAATATACACAATGTGGAAGGAATAGTCTCTTCAACAAATGGGGCTAGGAAAACTGGATATCCACATTTGAAAGAATAAACATGAACCCTTACCCAACACCATATACAAAAATTAACTGAAAATGGATTAAAGAACTGAGGTGACATCAGCATCATGGCAAAGTTAACTTGCCTGGGACTCTCTCCCCTCCAACATAGAACAAAAAGGGGCATCCATACTCCAAGAGAGGACATCCTCACAGCACAAAAACGGAGAGATACACAGCCACACAACAGAAGTTGGAGAGGCTGGAGCCCCCCTCAGAGGAGCTGGAATGGGGTAAGAGAGAACTTCGCTCCCCCCCCAAAGACTGAGATCGCCACATGAGGGAAGGAACGGGGCAGGGATCACTCGTTCATGGGATCACCAAGAACTCTCTAGGGCCCTTGCATCCTAGGGGAAGCCCTCTAACATGATGAAAGCTTTCATAGGGGGTGACCTCATCAACAACACCCCAGGAGACCAGATAGTGAAAGCTGATTGAGAAACCCCAAGAGCACACAGGAGAAAGTGCCCCTCCCCTCACCTGCCCTGCCCCACTCCACTTCCTGGGATATCAACAAAAAGCAGAAGGCTGAGAATACGCAGCTCTCAACCCCCACCCTGAGGCAATAGGCGGTAACTGCAACTGAATAACATCAGAATGTGTAAGACCCTACCTACCTCTGGCAACATCAGACACTACATCAAATCTCCAGACCAGAGAGAACACAACAAGCACCCAGAATTCAGTCCTGAGGACACAGAAATATGTAACCTAAGTGGCAATGAATTCAAAATAGCTATCAAAAAACTCAGCGAGGTAAAAGAGAATGTAGAGAAACAATTCAATGAGTTCAGGAGCTACTTCAGAAAAGAGATTGAAACTATAAAAAACAATCAATCAGAAGTATTAGAGATGAAAGACATAATGTAAGAGATAAAAAAAAAAAAATACAGATTCCCTGAACACTCGAGTGGACATCATAGAGAAGCATATCAGCATAGTCAAAGACAGACATGTTGAAATGCTCCAGACAGAAGAGGAGAGAGAACTAACACCAAGAAGACATGAAGAAAGTCTCCAAGAAATATCCTACTCAATGAGGAAATGCAACATAAGAATTATAGGTATTCCAGAAGGAGGAGAGAAGGAGAATGGAGCAGAAAGCGTGTTCAAAGAAATAATAGCAGAGAACTTCCCAAACCTAGGGAAAGAGAGGGAAATCTGTGTAGAAGAGGCTTCCAGATCTCCTAGATTTGTCAATGTAAAAAGACCTATTGCAAGGCACACAGTAGTAAAACTGGCAAAAATGAATGACAAAGAAAGAATACTAAGAGCAGCAAGGCTGAAGAAAATAACCTGCAAAGGGACCCCCATCAGGCTTTCGGCTGATTTCTCTACAGAAACCTTACAAGGTGGGAGAGAGTGGTACAACAAATCAAATCTTTAAAAGACAAGAATCTTCGGCCAAGAACACTCTATCAAGCAAAAGCATCCTTCAGATATGTGGGAGAAATTAAAACTTTCCCAGACAAGTAAAAGCTAAGGGGCTTCGTAGCCATGAGACCCTCCCTACAGGAAATTCTCAAGAAGGCCCTCATACCTGAAAAAAAATTGGAGAAAGGGGTCACAAAATACAGAGTAAGGAGATAAATAGGTAGGCAGAATCAGATAGCAAATATTCAACTAGAGCATTAAGCTAGATAGAAGGAAAACACCAAAAACAAAGATAATCCTGTCATCTTAACGATAAACTCACAACACAAAATGGAATAAGATATGAGAAAAACAACTTAGGAGGGGAGTAGGAAAGGGACTGAGTTGGTTTAGACTAAGGAAATAAGAGGCCATCAGAAAATGGACTATGTTATACACGAGATTCTGAATACAAACCTC